TTTTTCTAACTATTGATTTACTAAATGTATATATCATTGATATTGTTATTGTAATTTTGTACTATCTATTGACTATTCTATTTATATCAGAAAGGGGTTTTTATAGTTATTATAGTAATTTCAATGGTTAAAATTATGAGTCACTATAGAAAACCTGAAAATATTGATATTAATTATTATATGCTCATTAGTGATTGGATTCAACGGATATTTCCTGGAGTTTTAATGAGAAGCAGTGATCAGTTGAGTTCATTTGGGTCTTTTAAGAAATTTCAAGCAATTAATCCCTTTGATAAATTTCCATAATGTAATAAGAAGATGAAGATTATCAGAACTATATGATGAATAGATTAGCGCAATACATTTCGAACAATCTGATCACACATAATACACTCGTTTAGAACATTTACATATATAAAGAAATAAAAGGTCAACTAGACTAGAAATGGGGTAAGAGGAGATAAGGTTAATAATTTTTTGATTGAGATCATGAATCGACTGATGTTAGACCACCGTTGGAAACCTGGAAGCACTAGACGGCCGTTTTGTTCCCCTATGGGACTCTTCAGCATTGCTCATCCATGATCCCGTCCGCGGGACTCGAACCCAGGGCCTTCAGTCTCGCGCGCGAACGCTTAACCTACTAGACCACTGAGCCGGCATCCAATGGTGTTAGTGTCTAACATTAATCAATCCACGAAATTGCGCAACCATCTTCCATTGTACTGAGGTAGATACCTGTCTCTACCGGACACGGATTAGCTCCACTGGTCACGGCTTCTCACTAGAACTCCAAGAATTCCCTCACGAAGCTAGTCACTAGTGAGCACATGTTAATTATCAGTATTGGGGTTGTAGAGATTATAATAATAATAAGAGTAATAATAATCTGAACACAGTTTAAAACCTAATCACTCTGGATAATAAGTCAATATTACCAGGGTAGGTTTAAGGTAAGAGCAAACTGTTTTTGAATACACAAAAGGGGGCTTGAATTTTCGTATGGCTAAGGCTTCAATAAACTTTAGTAAACGCCCCTTTAACACTTTTATACAATACCACAAAAGCCGAGTTTAAATCAATCTTATGCCCTGTTTCAATTATATGTTTAGCAATAGAGGATGATGGATGTTTATCCTCTGCTAATATATCACATAGTTCTGATAATCTCCATCTTCCTATAACATTATCAATTGGGTCTGTTGTGAGATAGTAACTTACTGATGACAATGATGGATGTGTCGGTCAATTTCTTGAATTAGTTTGAAGTTAGACATTAACACCATTGGATGCCGACCGAATCAGAGGTTTAGAAGTTAAAAGTTTACTCATGAGATTGACAGTTCCTGAATTCGAATCTCACGAGGCGTGAACGTAGATTCGCACTGCTGAGGAGTTCCACAATAGAACGAGTTGACTATTCAGTGCTTCCAAGGTTTGAGTAGATAGTTTCCAATAAATTAACCATCGGCTATTATTGTATCCCACCCAATGTAGAGAATAATTTATATTTTTAATGTTTCGTGACTGATTATAAGCCACTTCTTCAGAGTAAATAAATAATTAAAGTTGAAATAGAACAAAGGAAAATAATTCAGCATATTTCCTTTGCACTATTCAAACTTGTGTTAATTTGATATCGATTATTTATTTATTTTGAAGAAGCACCCTACATTTAGTCACGAAACATCAGAAATATAAATTTTTATACCTATTAGGATATAACAACCAATGTGTTTATATTTATACGTGAGTTTGTGTCTAAATAGGATTAATGATCTAAATTGATTTAAAAGTACATTCATGATGAATTAACAATTATTATTCATGAACAACTTGACTATTGATACAAGATAGTCAATATTAACTAATATCATAAGATAGAATAATTGACAAGTAGAAAACTGATTCAATCAATCAGTCAGTCAGTTAGTCAGTAACAACGTAGAACTTCATACGTACGTTCATCAGTTCGAGTTACCATACCACATTAGCACAGTGATGCTGTTGTCGATTCAAATCCCATAGTGATAGAGGTAGTAAAAGTATAAGTAGTAATCGGAAACATTAGGGTTTGAAGATGTTATTGAGGGAGTATAATCCAGTGAAATAAATTTGGAAAGAGAACAAGTAAAGGGACGTGAAGAATTCAGAAGATTAGAAATTGAGAGAACACAAACTGTGGATGCACCTGCACACACCATTGAAAACGATTTTGAGCCATGTCATTCAAGGTCTTTAACCATCGGTTGTTATCATCTCGCTGATCCCAACCAGGTAGTCTACAACTACCAATATGGCTCAGTCCATTTGTCAGTGATTTCATGGATTTGTGTCATGTTTTGATCTGTCCGCCCCTAGCTTTCTTGCAACCTACTCCTAAACCATGAAACATCGCACGTCGTGGCAGTCGGTAGTTGGGTATACGTAAATCGTGTCCCAGCCATCTCAACTGATGAAGTTTCATTACTTCTATATCAAATAACAATTATGCATAATACTGAATAACTCACAATAATTTGATTGTTAAATTCATGAGTCACTTAAAGCTAGACCACCATGGAAAACCTAGAATCACGAGATGGCCGTTTTGTCATAGTATGGGACTCCTTAGTGTGTATTCATGAACGAAACGATCGTCCAATGTTTCCAGATTTTTCATGGTGGTCTAGCTTCAAATGATTCATAAATTTAACTACGAAATTACTATAATATCCACAAAACCCCTCTCTGATAATGACTTACAATAAGCTTAAGATAAGTTTCTTGTCATGTACATAGAAATAAACAGTTTTCTTTTTAATGGTTGAGTTTATGAGTCAAAGCTAGAACACCATGGAAAACGTGGAAGCATTGGATGACCGTTTTGTCCAAGTATGGGACTCTTTAGAAGTGCGCATCCACGGAACATAAGTTGTATGCTAATTGAGGCTATTCAACAAGGCACCCTATAATCTCGAGGGAACCAATACTTTCTGTGACCTGTCACAGGCATCTTCACAGTTTTCGACGTTACTATTGAGTTATTTAGGCAGTGACTAACTGTTTGTAGAATTGAATGATTTTACAATTAGTTTAACATTGAGCAATGATCAACTTCATGTTTGTCTAGTCCTTAGTGTAGATTAAATCCTCTCAATCGAATGACAATAATATGAAATATAAAAGTGATATTTGTGAGACAATATGATCACGGTATTGATATTCAAGATTGTATTTGATCAGTCTCTCTTGATAGATAATAATCCTAGTCGAATGGTATGTATATAAATGAACATTTTGGATTTGTTTTTTTATAATACTATGAAGGTACTAAATGGTTTGAATTATTTTTCCAAACCTGAAGAACTACGAAAGCTATCATCCAGAAGATATAAGTGTCCATTAACAGTTGTCTACGCAAAATGCTCAGGATCCGTTGGTCAGACACTATCAGCAACAACTTAATATAGGAGAGAACAAACCAGATCCCAATGGAGGAAGAAATCAAGAAGAAGCGTTGAAAGTAGATAGGACACACATTGAACAAAGCACCCAACTGCGTCACAAGGCAGATCTTGCTTGCAATCCTCAAAGCCAAAGGCGAAGAGGAAGATCAAAGAACACATTATGTCGAGAAATGAAGACAGACATGGGAAGAATTAGCAACAATTCAATAGAAATCGAAAAGAAGGCTCAGGAAAGACTGGGTTGGAGAATGCTGGTCGGCGGCCTATACTCCATTGGGAGTAACAGGAGTAAGTAATGAAGGTACTAAGTTGTTATTCAGCCACTATAATAGTTTATATTTATTATGTATATATTTTCATTGGCTTTACGGTTAGAGCAATTGTCTATTCAATCAATGAATATATTCGGTAATGAGTTTGGATTTGTGTTTGTTTAAACATTATCACTAAGATACAAGTTCATCATAGGAAGCGAATTTTATTTAGGATTGAATATGACTCTTTCCTTTCATTATTGGTCAACTTCTAATTTATAGACATCCAGTTCGAATCCACAAACATAATAGAAGACACTGGAACATGATTATGAAAATCAGACATTGGATGTACAAAGTTATAAATACAACCTATTTAAGACTAGATGGTGGTTGGAGGTAGTCGGCAGGAAACCTTGGAACCGGGTTTCGTGCTACTTGGTACTCATCAGCAAGATGTACCTGTAATCTTAAGGAAACTGGTGCTCCCTGACGGATTCGATCCCTTACCACCCAGCTTCACAGTCACAGACGTTACCACTGAGCTATCCGGGTCGCGGCCGACCTCCTGTAGGACTGAGATGTAATCACAATTGATTGATCACTGAGTGGTGATCAATGTCATGCGTGTCTAGTCCAACCACCATCCAAGCTCACGATAGTGCGCGCAGTGTCGAGTCACTTAGACTGGTGGCCAGATTGCAACATGGTCGATAGCATTCGGTCTACGCTAATAAGCACTAGACACTCATGACATTGATCACCACCCAGTGATCAATCAATTGTGACAACCTATTTAATTTTTAATTATTTACTACAATGAAAGCGGTCTATAGATCGAAACTACTTATATCTAACACTTCAACACTCAATCAATCCTCATCAAAAATTGGTTGAATTTCCTATTAAGTTATATAGTTTGATTGGTCTACTGAATAGACTTTCTTTTTTTAAAAAGAAAAACTAATCAATTAAGTATCCTAGTAGTGAACAAGAACATAAATGCGGGACAATTGAATGTGCTTGAATAGAAAATTACAGAACATCTTAGTAGAATCTGAGAATCATACAGTAAATACTTCATTTGCAAAATATCTATCAATCATCTTAGACTTCATTGTTCCTTTGTTTTCACACCGATCATTCACTGTTCTGTTTCTTTATTTTTTTCGATCTTCTTAACCCTCCACCACCAGACATTTCACTTTGGATTGATGGTACATACTACTTATATCTGTCGACAACAATAGCACACACCACAGATTGAACAGTTTATCCAAGTTAAAAGAAAACACTATTCAACACTATTCAACACCATATATAGACTTATGGGTATAAAATAATCAAACATTTGAAAAGAAATAAAAACAGCTGATGTTTACATGGTAAATATTATTATACAACAGTTAGCACATTTTATCTAATGCTAGAAAACTGGTATCGAAGGTCCTCGGTTCGAGTCCCGCATATGGGATCATGAATGAACACTGCTGAAGAGTACAATATTAGGACGAAACGGACATCCAGCTGTTCCAAGTTTTAAATAATGATCTAAAATTGATCGATTGGTAATTTCAATCAAAAAAGTAAAAACTCTATAGTAAGTATAACTTGTGGAAATCAATATTTGAGAGATTAGATATGCTAGATTAAATGGAGTTTATTTGGTCAAATTGAAGTAATCAGAAAGGAATTTGAAGTACTTACTTACTTACGCCTGTTACTCCTCTTGAAGGAGTAAAGGCCGCTCGCCAGCATTCTCCATCTAACCCTGTCCTAGGCAATCCTTTCCAGCTCTTTCCAGTTGTAATTCATCCATTACATACCTGATTCTATTTCCCGACATAATGTGTTCTTTGGCCTTCCTCTTTTCTGATTCCCTTCAGGATTCCATGTTAGGGATTGCCCCGTGTTGCAGTTTGGCGATTTCTGTAATGTATATCCTATCCACTTCCATCGTCTTTTCCCAATTTCCTCTTCAGCTGGAAGCTGGTTTGTTCTCTTAATATAATTTTTAGTATATAAAGGTGAATTTTTTTAGCTAATCCACAAATTGTTTATAAAAGTGATCAGTTTCTAGCTAGAGAAAAATTATAGATTTAAAAAATATGCACTTTATGGGTTGGTTGAAGCTAGACATTAATACCATTGGATGCCGACCGGCTCATTGGTCTAGTAGTTAAGCGTTTGCGTGAGAGATCAATAGATCCTGGGTTCGAATCTCGCGAGGTGGGATCGTAGATATACACTACTGAGGAGTCCGACAGCAAAACGAATTAACCATCGAATGGTTCCAGGTTTACTACGGTGGTATCTAGCTTTAATTGACTCATAATCTCAACCATTAAAAAATCTGTGTATAAAGTTCTAACAAGATTTATGAATTTCTAAGGTTACTTCAACGTCCATATGATTTAAACAAAAAGAAATAATGGTAAACATATTGATTTACGGATATCCTTATACTGAAGAAATTTTTCAACCATACTTACATTACTCTTTAACTATAACCTTAAATCTATGTAGTTGAATTATCTTAGTATAACTACATAAATTGGTTTTATGAAGAGCAATGCCTAGATTGTGAATATATTACTCCTACATATAAGGAATAATCAATATAAGTAATTGAACTATGCAATATAACACGATTTCTATACTTTATGAGGTCATTACATTCCAATGTATTAATGTGAATTATCCTTTAATTCACACTAACGATCGTTAACCTATGTCACAGTTGGTTTTAGTTCTTGTATAAATGAAACATTTACTATGCAATCAATATAATTAATTCACTTGATATTGTCGCAGAGTGAACATCAACTCTGAGATGCAGGTACATCCAACTGATGAGTCCCAAATAGGACGAAACGCGCATCAAACTGGATTCCACTGCTAGCCACTATCCATCTTTGCTTATAATCAATAAGATTATTATTATTATTATTATTATCTGTATAGTATAATATTTACTATGATCAATATATCATGAATGAATTTCAATTGTTTCAATCACTTTGCTTTTATTATCCTATAAATGAACAAAACAGTATTATTATCATAAAATGATGATTGAAGGTAGACTACAGGTAACCCTGGGACCGGATTTCGTATTATTTAACACTTACCAGCAAAGTGTACCTATAATCTTAAGGGAAATGTTACTCTTTGACGGATTCGATCTTATGTCACGTAACTTCACAATCAGAAACTTGCGTCAGTCAAAAGACCTGACATACATGATATTGATCACCATTCAGTGATCAATCAATTATGAGTATTATTATTATGATTACACTTCGTAATTCGAATTATAAATACCGTACCATCATTATTATCGCCATCATCATAAACGTCTGTTACACCAAAAATAATCGCAAAACAAAAAACAACACAAACAAAAAACAACTCATTCATCAATGTAAGATTTCTTTTCACTTTTACAAGAATTAAAATTCACAAACAGACAAAAAAGAGAGACAGGGCGAGCAAATAAGCCAGAGACAGGGAGAGAGAGAGAGGGGGGAAATAACAGCAATGACATTAACAATCACTACAGCGTTAGTAACAATAACAATAGACATGAAAACTTTCACAATAAAAGCAATTTTTTTCTTTAACACAAAATATATTCAGTGATAAAATTTAAGAAGACCAAATAAGTATGTATGTATGTGTGTGAGAGAGAGAAAGAGAGAGCGAGATTAGGGTGGGGGGGGAAAACGGACAAATAAAACAATATGTCATCATGTATAATAATAATGTTCGGCATATTGAGGAAAAAAAGACTGATAACATATTGAATATTGATTATTATTTCCAGGTTTTCAGTTTGTTTATTTTTGTTTAGTTTACATTGATCATCTTAATTATGATCAATTTTTAAAGAAGATAAAAAGAAAAAGAAAACAAGTAATTATCAACACAAAGAAAAAACGAAAAAAACAAACCAAAAAAAAAAAAATAACCATTAACATGTTTTCAACCATAATTCACACTTACTTTTAGTTTCACCAGATAATTTATTATTATTATTATTATTATTGATTAATTGTTCTTGTGAATTACTTGTAGTAATAGAGATATTATCAGCATATTCTATTGAAATAGATGGAGTATTATTAATATTTCTATTGTATATTACATCATCATTATTGTTGCTATGCAAAATGGTATTTTCATTAGATCTTGTTGATAACATTATTAATTGTTCATCAAAATCAGATAAACATGGTAGACTAAGTGAGTTGGTTAAAGTTGAACTGATATTATTATTATTATTATTATTATTAGTAGTAGTAGTATTAGTAATGGATGAAAATGTATTATAGTGTAGACTTAAACTTTTATGAAATGGACAAAAATTTTTAGATGAATTAGTTGAAAATATATCAAGTATATCCCATAATCTTGGTATAGTTATACTACTATTATCATAATTAGTAGTAGTAGTAGTATTAGTAGTAGTATCGTTTATATTTACATTCATAGTAGATAAACTAAAAGATCGTTTTAAATGAAAATCATCAAATTGTTGTTGTAAATCTATATTAATCGTATTACATATTGGACAAATTCGATTATGTTGTTTAGTATTATCATTATTATTATTGTCATCATTGTTATTATTATTTAAATTTAATTTAGAAATTTCATGATCGGATAAATCTTCATCTATATCTTCACTTACATAAGATAAACTAGGTACATGTACAATTAATGATGCTGTGGATGCAGTGAATACATGTCGTTCTGGTAATTTAATATGGGATAATGAATTAGAATCCCCATTATTATTATTAGGATTATTATTGTTATTATTATTACTTGTTTTCGAGAATTTATCCCAATGATCAAAATCTGTAAATGGAAAATTTAAACGTTTTTCATTATTACAATGTGTAGTCATTTTATAATCGGATTTTATTAATGATTTACGATGAGATACTAATGCATTTGAATATTTCTCTAATTCAAAATCTTTCATTATTGACATTGATTTATATAGAATTTCTAACTCAACAATGTATATTCAATATTACAACATTGAAATTCAAGATTTATACATATACAATAAACATATAGATCATTTATTAATGAAAGAAATAGATATTAATTCATTTCTTCTATGGATCATAATCAAATCATGTATGAATTGAATAAATCTCTGTTCTTTTTTTTTAATATTGATCATACAGCACAATTTATATTTACCGGTAAATTTTTGTTTAAAAAAACAGCTAACAATAGATATTTGATTGGTTAAATCATTGAATCAATTCTGCAAAAGTCAATTTCTTCGACCAATCAAAATACTTATGTTTATTTGATAATAAATTAGCTTCTAATTGGTTGAATTATATTTTGACCATGAATGGTTTATAGTTTGTTTCATTAAACTCGATATTTGATTGGTTGAATCATTGAATCAATTCTGCAAAAGTCAATTTCTTCGACCAATCAAATACTTATATTTATTTGATATAAAATTAAATTCTGATTGGTTGAATTATAATTTGACCATGAATGATTTATTGTTAATCTTATTAAAATATTACCACCTAAATAATTTCTTATTTATAGAGAGTATTAGATTGAAGAGTTAACTGTCTATGATTCAGTTTAAGAATTCAAGAATATACATAGTCAAAAACGTTCTCTTTCTTCTGAGTGATGGACTGAAGTATGAAAACTTTCATATCTGACAGGAAGCATGGAATACAATGGGTAGTTTGGACTCAATTAGAAGATTTAGATTTCACAGATGATCTAGATTTTCTATCCTATACACATACGAACAAATGCAAATGAAGACAACTTGTTTAGTAGCAGACTCTGAATCAGTAGGCCTTGTGGTGCACCAGACAATATGCGAACTCAAAAAGTAATGAGAGAGTTATTAAGGACAAATAGTAAACACAATAGAAATGAGGGACGTTACTTAGTTCACCAGGTTTGTGCATGTTCTGAGTTGATCTGGTACCAAGTATCTACAATTATAGATGGTTGCTAATTCCAGTAAGTTTGATGAATTCCGCAGTGATATGATTCAAAGTAGGATATGATATATTCCAATTACAGTCTATAAAGGTAGATAGTATTTGATTTAGACTTCGGTTAACACAACTACAAGTGAATGTAGAACGAGAGTTATGCGCGCAACAATGTATTTCTTAGCAGTCAACAGTGTGTCATGCTATGAGTATAACACGACGGAAGGAAGTGTGTTCAGGGTCATACACTTAAACAACACGTACAATCATTTAATGATAAATGTACATGCAGTGAAAAATTGACAAAATAAATATAAGTACTATTTACAAAATAGGCTTGTCATGCATAACTCCACAGCCTTAACATATACAAAAAAAAACAGCAAGATTCTCAAATCCAACACGAAGAACACTAATTCAATCACATTTGATAGAGGAACTCTGAAAGATGTGGGACAGCATTCTTACAATTGGAAAACATATGGAACTCAAATCAACGGTCTGTCAACCAATATCAGATTCACAATCTTCAATACGAATGTCGAGACAGTTCTACTGTATGGAGTTGATACGTGGGTCACTACTAATACAACCATAATCAAAAATGTACAAGTATTTATAAATAGTTGTCTACGCAAAATATTCAATACCTCGTCAACCGGGAACCATTAACAACAGCCTATTATGTGAGAGATAAACAAGCTTCCACGTGAAAAGAAAATCAGAAAAAGACGTTAGAGGTGAATGTGACACACAATGAGGCAAGTCCTAACATGGAATCCTGAAGGGAAATAAAAAAGTGGAAAGCTGAAGAACACATTGCATCAGGAATTGCAGTCAGAAATGAAAAGGATGAATAACAATTGAAAAGAACTGGAAATGATTGTCCAAGACAGGGCGGCATTGAGAATTCTGGCAGACGGCCTATGCTTCTACTGTTATATAAATAAGGAGAATTTCTGAGATTTTAATCTAACTTTCATGTTCTTTCGAAGTTAATCTCTACAATGATCAATACTTTGTTAGAAACTTATAACTAACTTAGTGATTTGGATATTGTAGTTTAAGACCCTAGATTTAAAGATTAAAGAGCAATTCTATCGTATATTTCAGTAATTATGTGTGAATTGTAGTGGTTTGTCACAATTGAGATCAATCTATTTATAATGAAAACTATATAATGGTTTATGATTATGTAGACCACTTTTTGATCCATCATGATAATAGTCTAACTGTAAATGATTTGGATATAAAATGCCTTAATGAGGGTAATTCTTATTTATACTTATGAAACTTGATCCTTTCTTTTTACAGAATTTTAATTAATCTGTTATGTTTGGGTAATTTCAGATGTTATTGGATATGGTTCAGAATCAAATTCAATGAGGATAATATGTCATGTATATTAAACTTCAGTTGCTTTTACTTCTCAATGGGAATAGTCAGTGAGTATGTCTATAAATCTTCTTAGTGTTTTCGTTTTTACAAAAGGGAGATCAGTAATGAGTCATCTTATCACTGATATGATTAAGTGGGTTGTCATAAACAATATGAATCTGAAGAAACTATGATCGTTTCCCTGTTCTTAGTACTTGTCATTTGATCAGTTCTGATGCTAATAGACTAAAGTATTAGTGTTTAATTAAGTTAAAGGAATAAAGTTTGAGAACTTGAATTTCGTGGTCTTGGAGAACGACTGTGGAGAAATACATTAAACAAACGATCCAAATATACACCATCTATGATTTGATTTTGTTTCCTTTGATATTAGTGTGTGAATACTGGTTTATGGATAGAAGAATGTATACTGACTGGTAAGAAGTATTTAGAAAATAGATTCTAGTTTCCGAGTTTTGTTTTTGTTATTGTGACTTATCAGAAACCTATAAGTATATCAATCTCTAAGGTGCGTTAACCATGAATATTGTCACTTATGATCGTAACCAATGGTTGGAGACTGTGGGTGATATGACTCAGAATCGATCACAATGGCGTAGGTATATACACTCTCTGTCTTCCTTTAAACGAAGAGATTAAAATCGCTTCATATCTTTCTTTCTAAGAACTAATTCTTTCTTCTTGTATTATATCCTTATATGCAATCTTTCTTTTATATATTACCACCATTGAACTAACTACTTCTATGAATCCGGTGTTCATCTTGTTGTGCTAATGCGGTATGGCAACTTGGACCGATGGATATATGTGCGTGGTGCTACGTATGATCTTCAACCCTTGAAATATAAGTGTTGTGTTCAACAAAACGCTTGTTTATATGAGCAAGTAAAGGTTTTTAAAATTCGTCTCATAAATTTGATTTTACATCATGTTTGAATATGGTATTGAATCACTTTTCATCGATGTGCATCCATGAAGAATTTCCATTGCTAGGTGTCACTGGATAAAAAGTGGAATTTAATTTACTCTTTATCCTCAAGGACCAAGCGAATATGTTCTACTGATATAATAAATAAGGAACTATTTTAACTTCATCAGATTCTCATTAGGAATGGTTATCCATCTAGATTCATTGATAATAACTTAACACCTAAACATCATCTAGAAAAGGCATTGATAGTACAAAAGAAAACTCTTTTTATGAATATGGAATTTAAAAGAAGATCCAGATGCTGAAATCTTGAATAAACGGATTTCGAGATCATTGAAAGAAATATATACCTTTAAACTGATCAAACACAATTTAATATTAAAGCATAATCTTTGATAATTCTCTTTCAGATATTAATTATCGTTTAAAGTTCTAAGTGTGAATTGTGTAACAGTAGTTACCTGCTCTTGTGAAGCTAGGTATATAGGTCGTTTGATGCGTACTTTATTTAAAAGACTTCAAGAACATTGTCCGGCGTGGCTAAAATGAGGAGGCAACGGCTCAATAAGAAGTTCTATAATCGAACACCTTTTAAACACAGGTCAATCAATCAAGATAGACTCTGCATTCAAAGTCATGTACAAGGTAAGTAGAAGTCTTCCAAAGACAATTAGACTGTATCTTCTTTGCATTGCTGTGCATAAGAGACTGATACAACCTCTTCTTCTACCATGGTCTTAATGTCTTATAATTTTTTTCTCTTTTTCATACTCTTCTTCCTCTACCCTCATCTGCTTCATCTTTCATCTTCCCCTTAAATCTTCTACCTTCAACTGGTTTATCTCTGTTTCTACGATCATCTTGATTACATTGAATCTCAATTTCAACATTTTATGTTATCATGCTGAACCATCCCTATCTATCTTTTGATGAATACTTAAACGATTAACAATCAAACGATTATATATATAGTTGTGGTTGTGCAGCTTTGAAAATGAATTCACTGATAAGAGGAGAACTCTTCACTGAACTAATCTTTCTTATTTAATAGTAGTTAAACTAAGAAACATTTAACTGTTTACAATTGAATCATCATTAGAAAATAATCAATATCGGTTACTTAATTCTTTAACACTTATCGAAATGTAATGTGTTACGAGACTTTAGGAAAGTCAATATCACATATATACAATGTTGACATATTAAATAACTGAGATTAGTCTCAATTTTTCAGGATATACATTGTATTCTAAACAGTTCACTGTCGAAGTTTTGAATTATGTATCTAAATTCGAATACAAGTTCGATTCCCATATAAGGGAATCAAACCCCTTGAGGATGTAATTATGTCATCTCTGGAAATCAAATGAAGCATCGTCTTCTGTAGACTTCATTCAATCAATAATAATTCGTATGAAATAGTTTTATCATAAAATAATAGTCAATTCATTTAGGCAGTAATTATTATTATTAACAACAACAAAAACAACCATCATTTCTATTTAAAACTTTCTTTTCTATCAGGCAATGAATTTTAATAGTTGAAATCATGAGTCAATTGAAACTAGAACACCATACAAAACCTAGAAGCAGTGGATGGCCAACTCGTTTGAAGTAAAAGTTTCTCAACTAGCCTAGGTGGATCCCCTGTACTCGCAGATCCGATTAAATCGCTGGACATTTGCTTTCCGTCTTCTCTATTTCATAAACTACACCTCCGCCGCGTATATATATATATATATATATATATATATATATATATATATATATATATATATATATATATATATATATATATAACGGTCGACTGATAACAGAGAACAGATTTTGTGCTTTAACCTGGACATCCCATAGCAATATTCACTCGTGATCTCTTGCCGGATCAAACTTGAAATGTTCAGATAAATACAGATATGAGAAAATTGTTTCTTCATAATTGATCTATAATGTTTATCTATGATAAACAGTCTGTTTTGTTAAAGATATTATGAAGCATTTATACTGATATTGACATGTATTTATTCTAATATATTTGCATCCATTTTTCTTATGAATGAACATAAATGCGGGTAGTAGGTCAATGAACATTAACCATTATATTGTTTCTGATTGAGTTTCTCAGTAATCAAACTTGGTTACCTATTGTCATGTTCAATAAACAGAAAATCTGAACAATTTGAAGAATTATATAATCAGAAAAATAGGAGTGAGAAGTTGGAATTGACGTCTTTTATCTATAGCTATACATCAACAATCACAGACTCATTCGAAGTAAAGACTGGTGATAGGCGAGGTGGTTTACTTTCACCCTTTCTGTTTCTCCTGGTGATCGACTGGATTATGAAGACATCAACATCTGGGGAGTGGGAGGCACGGGATACAGTGGAAAAATAGGATGCAACTGGACGACCAAGACTTCGCAGATGATCTGGCTTCTCTATCACACACGCAACAACAAATGCAGGAGAAGTAGACCAGTGTAGCAGCAGCCTTAACACCACTAGTTCTCAATATACACAAAGGGAAGAGCAAGATTCTCCTATACAACACAGCATGCAACAATCGAATCACACTTGACGGAGAAGATTTGGAAGATGTTAATCCTTCATCTATCTGGGCAGTATCATTGATGAACACGATGGATCTGATGCAGATGTGAAGGCGCGGATCACCAAAGCAAGAGCAGCCTACCTACAACTGGAGAACACCTGGAACTCAAAACAACTGTCAACGAAAACCAAGGTTGGAATTTTCAATACAAATGTTAAGACAGTCCTGCTGTATAGGGCGGAAACTTGGAGAAATACGAAAGTAATCATCCAGAAGTTACAAGTGTTTATTAAAAATTGTCCACGCGAAATACTTGAGATCCGTTGGTCAGACACTATCAGTAACAACCTGCTGTGGGAGAGAACAAACCAGATCCCGATGGAGGAAGAAATCGAGAAGAAACGCTGATAGTGGATAGGACACACATTGAGGAAATCACCGAACTGCATCACAAGGAAATCACTCGTTTGGAATCTTCAAGGTTAAATAAAGGAGAAGAGGAAGATCAAAGAATACATTACGCCAAGAATTGAACGCAGACATTAGAAGAATGAACAACGATTGGATAGAACTTTGAAAGGAAGGCCCAGGACAGAGTGTGTTGAAGAATGCTGGTTGGCGGCTTATGCTAGCAAATGATTACTTATTCACATATCATGATTACAATCACAGAAGGGTTTTTGAGAATATTATAGTAGTTTTTATTGTTGCATTCATGATCGTTTCGTACCACTGCGTCACTCCTCAGTAGTACGCATTCACAATCCTACCTGTCAAGATTCAAACTGAAGACCTATCAGTCTCGCTCACAAGGGACATAATAGTGTATATGTTACTCAATTTTATAGATTCATTGAAGTGAGACATTATACTGATTCACTTGTCTAATACTTAAGCACTCTGTTATGAGATTAATAGATCCTCAGTTTATATCTCATGAATTATGTGTGATCATAGATATTCACTACTAAAAAACAATCACCATACTAGAATGAAACAATCATCCAATTCTTCCCAGTTTTCTATCATAATCTAGTTACTATGATCAATCTATTTCATTATTGATTCTTTTAGTTTTTTCTTTTTTTATCAAAAAAATAAAATAATGATTTGATTGTGTTCATATTATTCTTATAAATAATTAATAAAATTAAAACAATACACCTAATAAAACAATTTTTCTTTTTATTTCTTTTTTTTTTTAAATTAAGAAAAGCAAAAACAAAAAACAATCATATACCTTCTACATAATGTTTGTTTTTTTTTTCGTTTTTTTTCTAAATGAATGAAATGAAAGACGATTGATTAGTGAATGCTGTGTTGATTCTAGATGTGAGGGGGTGGAGGTGGGCTGGGGTGGGGGAAATATTTGAAAATTATTGTGTGTATTACATGTTATTGAGGAATTTACGTGTGTGTGTGTTTGTTTATTTTATTTCTTTTTTTGCATCATCACCGATTCTTGTATTATACAAGTAATTTTAAATAGAGAAGATAGATGAATGAATATAGCAAGGGATCCATGTATATTTATATAAAATTATATTGATATAAAATAATAAAATAGTAATATTGGATGGAGAGAGTGTTGGTGGGTGGCCTATGTTCTCCCATAAGGGGTGACAAGCGTAAATAAATAAATAAGTCAGTAATTAATGTTGGTAACAAAACAGAATTTCAAAAAATAAATCGATAATTGATAATTCATAACAATGAAAGAGTTGTTTAAACACCTTTTTGTGTATGAGTGTGTGTGTGTGCTTGTTTGTTTTTTGAATGTTTCTATCGCTGTACAATAAACTGAATTCATGTTGCCAAGTGAATCGAATAAAAGAAGAAGAAGAAGAAGAAAGAAAGAAAAAAGGAAAGTTATCAACTATAAATCAATTTTTGAAATAAAATTTACAATCATGTATATATATATATATAGACTATCGGATGATTTATAATTTAATTGTAATTTGATCTTCACTACTATCAGATCGTTCAATATTCAATAAAGATTGATGAACGGATTGACGTTGCAAATTCGTTGAAGTTAAATATCGATTATTATTATCATTATCAGTATTATTATTATTATTATTATTATTATTATTATTGATTATATCATTGGAATCGGACTTAATTCTATAAATCACTATGGATGGTTCATTCAAATGAAATTTCATTTCAGTTTTTGATAATGATGATGATGTTGTAGATGATAAGGATAATGTTGAATTACTAGATTTTCTATCATAAATAAAAGATTGATCATAATCATTATTATTATTATTATTATTATTAGTATTATTGTTAGTATTAGTATTATTGATTGATGAAGATATAAACTTAGATGATTGATGATTAGGAATAATATCAATAATTTTATTTAAATCTATATTAGATGATCTAAATTTAAATTGTTGATCTTTAAGATCATATAATGATGATCTTGATTCAATTTGTTGATTAATTAAATAAGATTTTTGTCCATTTTGATTACTAGGTAAAAAGAATTTTTTTACAACATCTCTTTTTAATGGTGAAATCGGGATGGATTTTCTGTTGTTAATAAAATTAGAATTTGTTGATGTAAGATCAAGTTTATTGATTGATGAATCTAATAGATCACGATCGGATATATTAGATGATAATAAATTTCTTTCACTAGTAGTAGGATGAATTATTTTAGTAGTATCATATTGATTTATAGGATAATGACATGATCTAGAACTGGAACGTTGATAATTCGATTGAATAGTTGGTGAATTAATTGATCTAATACGTTTATCTATAATACACATAGAATCTGTTTGATTATTGGTATTATTATTATGATGATTGAGATGATTACAATTTATGCTTTCAAATAATGAAGATTGTGAGGTAAGGAACACATTACGTTTATTTCCATCCATCGTATTATTTTTAATAGGATCAATATTGTTGGTAGAAGTAGGAATAGTATCTATCAAATAACTATTATTACATCTATATGATTGATGATGTAATTCTGAAGTATTATCTGAATGACATATAGAGTCTGGTGACATAACAATAGTAGATAGATCATCTCGTTGGAATTTCATTAATGGTTGAGCAATTAGAACTTCAGGTTCCATTAGTTTACGATAATTTTCCTACAAATTATGGAAATATAGATAAAGAAAAGTCAAACTGAATATTGAATATAAATTGTTCATATTGTGCATAAAGATATGTATACTACTTATTGCGATAGGTATCAGTAGTATGAAACATCAAATAGATGTAAAAAAAATAAAAACCCTGGTCGCAGAACATTTTGAAGGTTAAATTAAATAGAATGAGAATATAAACAGAAAGTAATAACCATGAAGAAATGATGAAGTTTGAAATAATTGATGAAAGATTTGTAAATAAATCAATATAGTGTATGATTGTTCCATGGTATGAAAGAACTGTGGGGCCTGTTATTCTGTCGTCATTTGGATCGGACGATGTTGTCGAAGAGCTCTCCACTTTAGTGACCCGAGATCTGATTCCAATTAGATCGTATGAATGTTTGTTATCGCCTATCCTTGTATATAATCATCGACTTAAATCACGTTAGTCAATAACGGAATTAAATAAGTCAAATAACGAGGATGGACTTTTGAATACATATATTTTGTATACGAAGCAAATGGAAGAGAGAGAAGCAGAACAACGCGCAGTGGAGATGGCGGGTAAACCAACTACCATTTAGCCAAGCGTTAATCAATATTTATAGGCACATAAAATTAAGTTACAGACATGTGATGAGTAATGGGATAAGAAGTGTACACACACTTACGCGCTCATATAAAAGCGGTCAAGATTGATAAGCGAATAAGTGACAAATTCAAAACGTGACTCAACTAGAGTGAATAGATTGGCCTGTTCAAAAGCTAGAATAAGGTATATGGGTTTAACATAATAACGGACACTACAGAACTTTGCAATAATAACATGGTTCTACCTATTCGAGTGTTGGTTCACTTTGGATTTACATTCTTTAACTAAAACACTTTGGCTTACAGATTTTTGGTTCCATATTAGGAAAATCAATAATTATCAGCATATTGTTTTTGTAGGTTGTTAAATGTTTTTAAGATGATGAAGCAACCTAAGATAGACAAGTAATGAAAATCTATAAGCACTGAACTACTTTATGGATTTTCTATTTAGTGAACAAGCACAACTTCATTTATTACTATCTAATAACCTATTATTATTAGTTTTAGTGGGATATTTTCAATCCTACATCTTAGTTTGCAAATCTAGTATCAATGTTCTCCTAAAATTTATGTACCACCATTCTATTACATTAATGTAACATAAGTTAGTAACTGTTGAGATCTATTTATGGATTATTACTATACGTATATTTTTATTGTGTAATTGTTAAATAACTAAACTATTCATATTCGTATTCCTCTTATTATGAGGTTTATGTTGACCTATGAACTATGATTATATGATTTACCATTCTTGCGTTATGCCCAGTTTATCAATTACTATCTCCCAAATTCATAGCCACTTTTAGCTTGGCCTTGTACAGATGTTCTTTCCTATTTTATTGGTACAATGTGGTCTGTCTAGTTGGTATATAAACCGAGTATGTTTGAGATACATGATTCATATTGCAGAGGCTGAGATTGATGTTCTGGACTTAACAGGCTGAGCTAGGAAGGAAGCAGGATCGATAAGGACTCAAGACTGCTCGCACAGGTTTATGCATCATTGATCCGGTCACTGATTGAAAGCAGTAGGCGGTAAACATTATTGAACATAAGTTAAATGCTGATTGACACTTGTTATCAGAACGCACTTGTAATCTTGAAGAAATCGATGCTCTTGGTAAGATTGAAGCTTAGGTTGTTGAAAATTTACAACCTGAGACGTTACCAAAGAGCTATTTGAGCAAGAATTAAAATATTTGTAATGGATTAATAGTAGAAGAATGACCAATGTTATGTTTGTTTACCCTTAATACATTCAATCTACTTTACATTTAACAAAATTTCAGTAAAAAAAAACACTTTACATTTTTAACTCTGCCTGTAGCTCTTCTAGAGTTACTGTCGGTCTCAAACCTGGGTAAAGAAGAAAAGTTGAGCTTAGGGGTTTAGTGACCCTATCTTGTAAGAAAACTAACTTATTAACCCAAAAACACTAATCAGAAAAAATAACCCAAGTAACCCTACATCTTGAAATATCAACGTGTAATGACAAAAAAAAACTATTGTATCACAGTTTATGGTTTCAATTAGAATGAATTACCTTTGCTGATTCAATTTGTACAATCCATTCATCACATTTAGGTCCAGCAGAAAAAATATATAGATTAGAAATATTATGAAAATCATCTAGAATTGCACAACCAAATACACCTATAAGAAATTAAACAGATAAGTATAAATAGAGGAGGAAGGAGAACAATGAAAATTTGATTACTATTACTAAACAGTAGTGAAGTCTTAAAGAATTCACAGTAATTGATACCTACTGTAAAGATGATCTCAATTAGGATGGTTATAAATAGTATGTATATGTACATTACCTATCAGTCATTCATGTGAGTATTTTGCATGAACATTGGCAAGTCGCTACTTATCGTTATAATAATTAAGTATACTGTAATTCAAATCTCACTGGTTGAGATCATGAGTCAATTGAAGCTAGACATTACCATGAAAAACCTTGAAGCACTGGAAGGCCGTTTCATTCTAGTATGTGACTCCTCAGCAGTGCGCATCCGCGAGATTCGAAACCAGGACCTATCGGTTTCTCGTGCGAACGCTTAACCATTAGACAACCGTACTAGGACGAAACGATCGTCCAGTGCTTCCAGGTTTTACATGGTGGTCTAGCTTTAATTGACTCATGATTTCAAATAGTGAAATTTCTAACATTTCCACAACCCCTTCCGATAATTCAAATCTATTATCAAGTGCTTTTTACTTGGCTATTTGGTTTACTTTTTTTAGCGCATTAACTGTACTGCTTATAAATATTCAGTAGTTTGGGCATCTTCAATGACTTCTCGGATGTACATGCGCCTTTTCATAACAATTTACATATCTATTTATGTTTTTATTTTGATGTTGTAGTTCTTTTTCTCCCTTATAACTGGAGCCTGAAGATCAAATAATATAAAATTTTCCCTTTATTATTGCTTATATTTTCATTTGGAATAATACCATCTGTTTACGTTCTCAATCCTCATTCACTTGTATTTAACATTTTTATACTACTAACTAATATTCAGTAAACAGTTGTATTCCTAGCAATTTCCAGGCTTATGTTGTAACTTAAGTTTGTAGTGTAGTCTTATAAAATATTTACATATACTTATAACATTGTATTTATCATTTTAATTACTTTCTTCCGAACCCCGTAGGCAGTTATTACCAATTTTTAAATCTTCATTTGTTCGTTGTTTAAACATAACAGTTCACATATTGAGATCATGAACCGATTGATTTTAGACCAGCATTGAAAAACTGGAAGCACTGAACGGCCGTTTCGTCATATTGTGGGACTCCTCAGCAGTGCACATCCACGATCCCGCTCGCGGGAACACCATTGTATCAGTGGTCCAGTAGGTTAAGCGTTCGCGCGCGAGATTGAAGGCCCTAGGTTCGAATCCCGCGAGTGGGATCGTGGATGTGCACTGCTGACGAGTCCCACAATATGACGAAACGGCCGTCCAGTGCTTCCAGGTTTTCAATGGTGATCTAACACTAATCGGTTGATGATCTCAATCAAAAACTTAACAATCTCCAAAACCCCTAAACTGATAGTTTGTTTGATTTTAGTCTCGTATTTGCTTGTTGATAAACTATTATCAAGATTAGACACACATAGATATTAACTGACATTTACATTATCGAAGCCTTTTATTTATTTCAGACTAAAAGACGTGCAAGTTGGGGTCTGTAGCTAACTTATGTATATTACTCAACAAAGAACGGCTGTTTTTTTAAAAAAGAAAAATTGCTGTTTTTGTGAACTTTGATTTTACACGTATCTCAATTGTATGATTTAGGCGCGTGCTCATGTTAATGATCTTACATTCAAACGCTACAAATTATCGGCGCTCTACCACTGATTACTACTGAAAAGCTGAGATTCAATACTTGAAAGAATTATTACTATGAACATAATAGATTATACTCAAGGGCGCCTATAAATTGCATCAAGGTGGTTTGTATCTAAAGCATACTCAAACTTTTGTACCTCTGTATATTCGCTTAATATTCCTCTACTGCAAATGAATTTTTAACCATTATCAATAATTCATTAGGAAAATTACTTTCATATTCTATGAAGCTTCCATGTAGTCACTTCAAATGACGAAGATTAATATGAAATAAGTGAAATACAAACATCCTTCTTTCTTTTTTGTCAATTATCACTCATAACTATTGTGAACAAAGAGATCATGAGTCAAATGAAGTAAGACCACCATGAAAACGTGGAAGCATTGGACGGCCATTTTGTTTTAGTATGGGACTCCTCAGTAGTGAGCATCCATGATCTCGTCCCCCGGGAGATTCGAACGCGAGCGAGCGCTTGACCACTAGGTTTTCCATGGTACTCTAACTTCAATTGACTCATGATCTCAACCATTGAAATTACTACAATCTCCACAAAAACCTGTAGTGTCTGTCATTATGTTAAGCCCAAATACCTTATTATTCTAACTTTCGGACAGCTCATTCTATTCATTCTATTTGAGTCACATTCTGACCTTGTTAATTATTCGCTTATCAATGTCTTGACTGTCTGTATATGAGCGCGTAGGCGTATGCACACTTCTTATCCCGTTACTCATCACATGTCTGTAATTTATTTTTGTGGGCTTATAAATATTGATTAACTCTTTGTTAAAGGGAGAGTTGGCTTACCAGCCATCTCCACCGCGCGCCAACTTAGCTTCGCTTTCTAATCTTCGCATCGTTCCTCCGTTCGTTTGTCTAATCAACAATTATACAAAATATATGCATTCAAAACTCCATTCTCGTTAGTTGACTTATTTAATTCCGTTATTAACTAACGCGATTTAAGTCAATGATTATATACGAGGATAGACGATAGCAACCAATCATTACGATCAAATTGGAGTCAGATCACGGGCCACTAAAATGGTGATCCCGTCACCACAAGCGAACACATCAGGCTACTAAAAACCCTTCTGATATACATCAAATAATAGAAGGGGTTTTGTGAAGATTTTAGTCATTTCAATACTTAAAACTATGAGTCAATTGAAGCTAGACCAGCTGGAAGCACTGGGTGGCCGTTTCGTCCTAGTATGGGATTCCTCAACAGTGAGCATCCACAATCCCGCCCCCCCCCACGAGAGATTCGAACCCAGAACCTATCAGTCTGGCGCGCAACCGCTAGGACGAAACGGCTATCCAGTGCTTCCAGGTTTTCCACGGTAGTGTCTATCATCAATCAACTCATGATTTCAACTATTGGAATACATTAAATAAATTTTAAAAAAATGAGTAAAATATTCAACTAACCAGTTTCACGACCACGTTGAATAATTAACTTATCTAATCGTATAGGACTTTTTAATAATTTCCAATAATCATTCCCATCTTTTTTATGTTGTTTAGTAATTAAAAATAAATCCGTTAAAATATGACAAACAGTTTCCACTGACTAGAAATTAAAAAAGAGAAATAGAGAGAGAAAGAGAGAGAAAAGAAAACTACAAGCTATGAATATTCTTTATGAAAAGAGCAAGAACAAACATTCTAGCTGAATAGCATGAATTCATTCTATTTTGTTTAGTTCTCATCAGCAACCTACAACCTGTGATATTTAAGTACCGTCATTATATAATGGGTGTAAATGACTTTCATGAAAGTGTTTGGTTAGAAGTTATATATTGAAGATACATTAATATACTATAGTAAAAGTGTAAATAAATGGAATAGATTGGATATCGTGAATGTATACCTTATGTGATGAAAGAACATTCTGAAACATTGATTGTGAGTTTGAAGGATCGCAAGGTATCGACCTGATGTTCTATATCAAGGAGATGTTTGTTAATTGCACTGTTTAGAGTTTTTCCCTTATTCTAAGGCTTTTTGGAACATGTTTAAAAAAATCTAAGATATGCCCTCAGTTCTATTCGACCGATGTAGCTGCTTCGGCAGGTGCACATAAATTTGTAAATACAGTTGGCGGTAACATGAATGGGGTGCTTGTCAACCTTGGATTGAGTTATTGAACATGTTGTTTTATAACGAATTAAGAGCTTGACCGCCGGATAAGTTCTGACTAGCTCAGTATTCAGCCTCATGTTGATTGTGTTCGCGACATCATCACATTTGAAGTTAAGATTTATAGATAGTGGTTTTCTATTGACCGTAATTACTTCCATCTTGTTTTCTATGAACTTTCTATATTTGTCAATACACTTTTATGAATGAAAGTTGTCTGTTAGGGATTTCTCCACGTGTATTAATTCTTCTTCCAGTTTGTCGGTGGTATATATCCTTTCTACCCTATAAAATTGTGTTTTAACCAATACCTTCTTGTAACTGGTTGAACAAAAGTGGTTGAAATTCAGGTGAAGGCCATTCCAAGTACTTTTTCAATAAATCGAACGTTAGACTGTCTTGTCTCTTCTACGTTTTATGGCAACATCAAGAAAGTGGAACATGTCATTCTGTTAGTGTTCCATAGTATATATATGCATAGTGTATATGCATCTATACAAATGTTTATTTATACTGGTGAGTTATTTCATTGTATTAATGTGTGAGATCTTGGATAAAGTGATGCTTTCTGTTGGATTCACAGTCAAATCATTCATTTTCACAATTTAAGACTTTAGCATTAAGCTATTGAGACCGTAGTTAACTTCTTGTAGATCTGAGATATTTACTATTGATTGATCATAGAGTATTGAACATCGTCAATCAATTGTGAATATTTCAGTTCTACAAGAGGTCATTCTTAATCTGAATATTTCATTTTGTAAAATCTCAGGCTGTAAAACAAAGGAATAAAAACTTTATATCCGATAGGGAACATTGGTTCTTTCGACAATATAGATACACTATAATGACTATTGTCAGCTAGCGGGAAACCCAAGTTCAGTAGAATTTCTTGTTAATTAACTAAAAATTTTTATTCATTTATTTTATTTAAACGCATAAACATTGGTAGAAGGGGGCATCAAACCAATAGGTGCCACACAAACTATTCAATTTCTGTTAGGACTGGGATACTGCCCGGGTGCCCAAACCGAAGCATGCGGTTTTTAGGGTTCCACTCCCCTAGCCTTTGACCTTAAAGTCTAACCCACAAGGAAGTGGAGCAACGTAAGGAGATGCAGTCCCATGGCAGACGATGATCAACGATTGGTTTACACTCCATTTGTTCCCTCAGGATCCTGAAGCCCATGTGGAGCATTGCTTTGGAATCAGAGTTTTCCAACTCACCTAGGTAGACTCTTTGTATCCGCAATTCCGTTTAAAGTACCGGACATTCGTTTTTCGTCCTCTCAATTTTGTAAGCAATAATAATGCCGCGAGAATGCAGTGAGTAGGACTTCTCTGGCAGTGGTTGTATGCACTTGGTCATGTGGGAGCATTTTGAAACGGAGTTCTAATTCTCTCCACTCTCGATCGTGCCAGCACATTTGGGGGAAACCAAAACTACTTGACATTAAAACTTATACACGCAATATCAAGTCATTGCACTTTTGGTTTTATGCGACCGTTTAACAGGCTCTTCCTAAAAGTATCAGCTATATTAAAAGGTGACCATATATCACTGTTGCAGACAGATATCCTCCGCTCTATATTGCAAATGAATTTCAATCTTTTGTTCTTTAGGAAATTATTCTCAACACACTACTTTAAAGCTCTAGATTCCATTTGATTTGTGAATTTATGGTTGTGTTTACTATTGCGAAGATTCAAACTAGAATAAAACACTTAAATGGTTAATATTAACAAGTAATCTTTTAGAAGAATGTAAGAACCTACTGAACTGAAATTAAGTCATTTATAGGATAGATTAAGAGGAGAATCATTTCAACTCATTAATCAATTGTAGATGTATATACTCGCCTTTGAGATATTTGTTTGAAAAGTAATAATAGCAGTAGGCTGTTTAAACTAAGATAATTGAAACTGGCTTTGAATTAAATTCATTTGGTATTGTTTGGCTTGTATCTTCCCATTGAGGTTTAAAACTGTAACTGATCAATCTGTTATTGGCATATGTGCATACTGTGTGTATGCCTCAGTAGCTGAATGGATAACGCGATGGCATTTAAAGCGAATGATACTGAGTTCGAGTTCCAGAGTGAATATCAACTCTGAGATGCAGGTACATCCAGCTGACGAGTCCCAAATAGGACGAAACGCGCATTAAACTGGATTCCACTGCTAACCACTATCCATCATGGCTTTGAATTTGTTGTTCCACTGGTTCAAAAGTTGAATGATTATACATTTAAGTCATTGCTAAATAATGGTAATTTCGAGACTCTGTAAGTGCATAAAAACTGTATGTTATTTTTAGTTGAACTATCTGCAGAAGCCTTTAATGACTTCATAATGACAACAAGGATTATAAAATTAATATGAATAATAAGAATTATTAACTACTTACACGATTCGGTGGTTCTTTAAATCGTAAATTTCCTCCATATAATACAGTACGTTGAATAGTTCGCCTACAATAAATATCTGACCAATCATATGAAAAACAATCAGATAATTCTGTATCCATAGAAAGTGATTTATGTATTCCACTACTTTCAGTGATACGTGATAACATGACTGGAAATGATATGGATTCATTAATTTGATTTGTTAAACTATAAATTCTTGAACGTTGTTTTAAATGTATCGGTGATGTATTATCTGTGGATATTGTTGATGATGTAGATATGGTTTGATTACAATCACCAATACCGGAATCACTACGATTACAACTAGTTGTTGGATGATTTGATATAGTTCGACGACCTGTTATTGAATTATTAGAAGTGAATAAGGATGAACCACTTAAACGTCGATTACGTAAAAATGCTAAAGATTTTGTACATGAAGGTATAGTTTGATTACTGGTATTATAATCATTAAATATAATCACTGGGGATGGTAATTTGATTGGACTAAGGATTGAAAATTTAAATCTGTTTTGTTTTTATTCATCATAAAATAAAAGTAAAAAGAAAAAGAGATAATCAGTAGGGTTAGATACTCCTTTAAACTGATATAACATATATGGATTGTAGATTATTTGAAAGGAGAAAGAAAAAAAAACACACTTTATGGAGATAGTTGCTGACTGGACTACTCTTTCTAGATGGATCAAAGTCTGATCAAGAGGATTTAGTCAATTATTATATCGGGGTTTGTTAGGATTGTTGAGTTTTATAGTTTATAAGATGAACTAACTAAAGTTAGAAAACCTTTGAAGACGATAAATCATTCGTTCTAGTATGAGACTATACATAACTGAGGATTCACAACCATAATCGGATCTATAGATCTCATAGTGAGAGCTTAAACTTTAGACCTGTGAATCGTCAGCTAGAGGTTTATAATTTTAACTTCAATCAATACATAACAGTGAACAACCATCGTTCGATGTGATTGTTGAGTAGCCGCTTTACATTCAATATGGCTCAATTACACTAAACATGGTTTCTCACTCTTGTAATTCTTGGGTTTTAATGGTTGTCCAACTCATTTCAGTCCATATTTCAAGCTAAGAATATAATCAACACTTATAGTTACGCAAAACAGCACAGGTTTCTAATCTGTGATCAAATTAGATGTAGCAAGATGAATTTCATAAGATTTTGATCATTACTAGGTTAATTACTTATCATGGAGATACATGTACTTAAATTTATAGGTAAGGATGGATAGTGGCTAGCAGTGGAATCCAGGACGCGTGTCCCCTCCTACTAGCCACTATCCATCTTTGCTTATGATGCTTGTGAATTAAGGCAATATTGAGGCAATACGCACAGTGTAAACATCAAGCTAGAGGAATTTTAGAAACAAAAAGACAAGAAAGTAGTTTTAAAAGTTCTCACTAATTCTTTGACTAAACCACCAGTATGAGATTAGAACTTAAATTTCCAGATTTCATATTGAGGATAATACCATTCAAGTGGGTAAATTCAACCATAGTGGTTCTCGTTTTAGAAGCCAGTTTGCCACATGGTATGGTTATCATCTGAGACATTTAGTACTTGGGTGTTTAACATCCGCTTTCTAATTGTTTACTCTTACCCCTTCTCAGAAATGTTTCACGAATAGGAAACCGAAAAGCGGAAAATACAAAAAACAGGCTTTGTTTCTAGGGATAATTCAAATAAGGATATTTGTAGGTTTGTTTATGACCCTGATACTCCGGAAGTGACTGAGAACATGCTAAAATTAGTAACAAAGTTGATGATTATGGAACAAGGATATGACACCTAACCAAACATTACACATAACTCTCAGTCTTTTCTTAGCTTTTAGAAACTTTTCTGAATAATTTTTGAAGGCTCTCAATGTCATCACAGTAGAAACCAAGGTATATATTTTGTCATGTTTGTTAAGATTTACACTAAGACTCGAATTCATTACTTTTCAAATCAAATGACTAACACATTGTTCACCTAGCAACTGGATTCAGATAAACATTGGATATGAATTTCGTTTAACCTATTTCTTATTTTAAATTTCGACAGAACAATGAGAAGATGGAGTTGATCTGAAAAAAGTGATGTATTTGCGCTATACATTTCGAACAATCTGGTCACACATATACTTGTCAGGGCATTTTGTTTGTTTGTACTTTAACTTTCATGTAATTGACCTTTATAAAATTTTTATATAAAATGCCCTGACAAGTGTGACCAGATTGTTCGAAATGTATAGAGCAAATACATCACATTTTTCAGATCAACTCCATCTTCTCATTGTTCTGTCGAAATTTATAAAAAGGACTAATTGCTTTAAATATTTTAAATTTGATTATGAATTCAGTAAGAATTATCAGAAGGAGTTTTGTGGAGATTTTAGAAATTTCAATGGTTGAAATCATGAATCAATTGAAGCTAGACCACCATGGAAAATCTGGAAGCACCGGATGGCCAACTCGTCCTATTGTGGCACTTCTCAGCAAAGCGCATCCACGATCCTTCCCCCGCGAGATTCGAACCCAGCACCTACCAGTCTAGCGCGCGAGCGCTTAACCACTAGACCACTGAGCCGGCATCCAACGGTGTTAGTGTCTAACTTCAACTAATCCACGAGATTGAGATAGTAACTTACTGTTAAATTCCTATGATGCTAATTTAATAGCCTATATCCATCACTACTCATATCTCAATAGTTATTTACATAGATACAAGCTAAATTATGATTTAGAAGGCTTTTGAAAAAATCGTTAAACTCAACAATAAATTGTAGATTTTTGGAATAGATAGATTTTAGCTAAGAGTGGAACTCAGTACGCGCATTTCATCCTATTTGGGACTTATTAGTGTTGATTATTTCTTTTTTAGTCTAAGAATTGAACTCAGTACCTTACGGTTCTACAAGAACAGGAGATAGCAATTAAACACCACAGTATAGATTCTTTTGGATCATTGCATATAGACAACTATTGAAATCATTTCGTTCGGGAAAACAAAATATCAGACAGAGGAAATACAAAGAAAATTAGAGAGTTTTTAATAGCATGACACTCTGATAACGAATCAATCGATATATATTTAGGGATTGACCTAATCTACCAACTTATAGGGAAGGGGATCAATAACTCGACGATTTGAGATCAGCTTAGAAATTAAATGAATCAAAGTAAACATAAAAACAACGGCCACACACCTATGCACAACAACTAACCAAATCCAAAGTCAAAACGTAAACTAGTAGTCGGTTATAAAGAAATCTTAATAACTCACTTCTTACTGATATGTGTGCTGATGATTTCATTATCTTGAGCTACAGATATTCTTCTCTAATTTGTTTCAAGTACTCGATATATTATTCACTGATCTCTTGGGTTCAGATGATCAATGCCTTGTGTAATGATTGCAACGGATACTCATTGAGATAGTGGATAAGATTTATAGCTCAGATAAATGATTTTGATGAAGTTTTGTTATCTGACCTGGATGGTTTGGTCGTGAAGCTTTCGTCGTTCCTCTGAACAACATCATCATCAGTACAAACGTCAGGTAGAAGTCTACTGTGAATAGTTAAATCTTAACTTGGGCATTTCTTAGCTTTTGTAAAATTTCCGGTTGATAATTATAAAGACTTGAAAGTTCTATTGTATTTCTACTTACTTTGTTTAAGATTTGATGGCGATAGTGGGTTGATAAGACCATAGTAGCCGGTTAGAAAGTTAACACAGTCAAACTTCAGTAGTGTAACAGGCTTAAAAAGTTTCATTTTCATAAAAATCAATCAAGTCACATTCTGTTGCCACATTTTCAACTTTAAATCAAGTTTACTTTGAAGTTATAAAAGACATTTAATACAATATTTAACTGTTCCAAGCATTCAGTATGATTATGTACAGTAAAGTGAAATATTCACAGAATTTCATGGTTTCATTGAAATTAACTGATCTCTATAACCTTTTATTGAAAATCATCATGTAAATACTAATGACTAGCTTCTAGAAGAAATATCCGAAGTTCTATTGAGAAGCCATGATTAATGCAGTTCAACAGTTTTGAATATGAAGCAATTACACACAGAAGACAATGAAAGATGGTTGTGCAATGTCGTGGATTGATTAAGGTTAGACATTAACACCATTGAATGCTTGCTTAGTAGTCTAGAGGTTTCACTCTTGATGGCGAAACTCTGGAAGACGTGGAATCCTTCACATACCTGGGAAGCATCGTCGATAAACAAGGAGGTTCAGATGCAGACGTCAAGGCGAGGATTGGCAAAGCTAGAGCGGCATTCCTTCAACTGAAGAACATATGGAACTCAAAACAACTTTCAACCAATATCAAAGTCAGAATCTTCAATACGAACGTCAAGGCAGTTCTACTGTACGGAGCTGAAACTTGGAGAACTACAACAACCACCATCAAGAAGGTACAGGTATTTATTAATAGCTGTCTACGCATGATACTCAACATCCATTGGCCGGATACCATCAGCAACAGCCTTTTGTGGGAGAGAACCAACCAGCTTCCAGCTGAAGAGGAAATTAGGAAAAGACGATGGAAATGGATAGGACATACATTGAGGAAATCATCAAACTGCACCACGAGACAAGCGCTAACTTGGAATCCTGAAGGGAAGCGGAAAAGAGGAAGGCCAAAGAACACATTACGTCGGGAAATAGAAGCAGATATAAAAAAGATGAATAAGAACTGGAAAGAGCTTGAAAGGATTGCCCAGGACAGGGTTGGATGGAGAATGCTGGTGAGCGGCCTATGCTCCTTCACGAGGAGTAACAGGCGTAAGTAAGTAAGTAAGTCTAGAGGTTAAGCGTCCTGGAGTGTGACCAAACGTTTTGGGTTTTGGTTCACATTGTCAGGGTCATGATTGTACATTGCTAGGAAGTCCTATACAAGTACGAAACGATTGTTCAGTGCTTTCAAGTTATCAATGTTGGTTTAACATTTCTCCATGACCCCTTTACGAACAATAATAAACATTATATTGTTACAATCTTACCTTGTATAATCACTAATCAATTGTGTATAATCATCAATATTATTGTCTAAAAAATCACAATATATTAATTTTGATGCTAACATTTCTAAACTTTCCCATGTTTTCGTTTCAGTCATCATTTGTTGGTTGATTTCCTCAATGAAATCACTGATTGACTTGTACTGTATGTATATTTTGAAAGAAAAAAAATACAAAACCAAAAGGTAAATAAAAATGTATAAAGCTGGAAGTAGACAGTGATATTATAATTAATCATAATTATCAGTATAATAAAAAGGTAAACTTGATATTGGAGAAGCGAATCTGTGATCAAAATCATATTTACTTGAGCTTTTAGTTGCTATATATAGTCACTGGTCTAAATGATTCATAATCAAGTATACTGTATTGAGTTGTTAGGTGATGATTTGAGGTACTTGACAATATATATCCTGTTTGATCTAGGTTTCATGCTGGTTGAAATTCACCAGTATCTTTAATCTAGAGAGACAACTAAAGCATTCTACAGTTTGATTGATAGTATTTGGATCAACACCAAGGACTAATCAAAGATTATTTCGATTAACAACCAGTGATTAATCAATATTGAATATCTCAGTCCTACAGGAGTTTGATGCTGATACGAATGGTTCAGTGGTAACATTTCTGACGGGTGAATTTGGATGACACTAGTTTTAGTCTTATAGGAAACAATACTCATTCAAAAATGTGAATGTTTTGTTGACGAATATGAACTTGCATGAGTGCTAGGTTAAATATCATTTTCTGATGACTATCTCTTAAAATCTGACAAAACAAACAAGCGATTCCATAAACAGTTTCAGTATGCTTTTCAAGCACTCGTAATAATAAAGAATATAATTTGGTGCTTAAATACTGATATAAAAGTCAAACAACATCTAAACCTCTTATTAGTAGTTGATCATTAATAGTCTATTGAAGAATAGGGGATGGAAATGTTGAGATTAATGATTACATATGATAATAAAGTAAACTGTATATATGTAAATGTTGAATATGGAGAGAATGATGCAAATTAAATTTTTAAAGTCTAAGTTTTCAGATTGTTTAGAAGAATTTATTTGATCAGGTTATGGATTGCTTCTCGAGTTGGCATAAGATGGCGGTTGGAGGTAGTCAACAGGAAATCCCGAACCCGGGTTTCGTGCTATTTGGCACTTACCAGCATTGTTTATCTGTAATATTGAGGGGACTGGTGCTCCCCAACGGATTCGATTCCGTATCACCCATCTTCACAGTTAGAGACGTTACCAATGGACTACAGGGCAGTGACTGATCACCTATAAGACTGAGATGTATTTACAATTGATTGATCACTAGCTGGTGATCAACGTCATGTGTGTCATGTCGTTCTTAGTGCAGATCGAATCTTACCAACCAAGTTGCAATATGGCCACTAGTCTAGGTGACTCGACATTGCGTACACAATGTTTAGATAAGATGGTGGTTGAAGGTAGTTGGCACTTGATTCATAACCTTTTCAAAGATAGATTTTAGCTTTGAGTCATTTGGATACATATGTAACAACATGTTCTCAGACTTATAATTGATCTATTGATTTCACCCTTTCTAATCCTGCCTTCAGTCATTAACCTATGTAGATATCAAAAGGAGAATACAAACCAGTCAACAGTTTAATTTTGAATTTTTCATCAATTCTAGTCAGGCTAAAGAACACATTACGTCGGGAAATAAAAGCAAATATGTAAAAGATGAATAACAACTGGAAAGAGCTAGAAAGGATTGTCTATGCTCTTCCATAAGGAGTAACAGGCGTAAGTAAGTAAGTAAGTATCTCCACCAAATTGATCAGCTTAAATGTAGTATACATTTCATGCAATTATGTTTCCATTACGAATTTGAATAAGGCTAAAAACAACAATTAAGGCAGAATAGTATAAATTCATTTTAATTCGTGATTTCTATCCAGCTGCTTACAACCATCGATGTATATGAACATATAATATTAAGCTAAGATATAATGTGGAATAATTGACAGTGATCACGGAGAGGCATGAGGTTATCTGAAGATGGAATTTAAAAACAAAAGTAGGGATGAGTTATTAATGGAATGAACTCCGGAAATAGGCAAGATAGATTGTGTTATCATTATGGAAGTTACTTGAAACTAGTGATAGAAGATCTAGAGCAATAAGGTAGTAATTGTCTAGAATTAGAAATTGAAAGGTTTACTGACAAAAATAATAATTTCAAGTGATATTAGTCAAAGCTATGAATTTTCGAGTTAAGTTGATTACTGAGTCGGCAAATCGAAGAGGAGTTGAGTCTTTTGTCGATTAGCAATTCTGAAGAATTGTAGAATGTTAGTGGTAGGCCTAGTATCAATAAAATGCCGAGATAATACACTATTTAGAGCTGTTGTGCCTCTCAGAATCAAATTCTTTGATGTATGCTCGAAAATACTAACCTGAACTCTTCTCCCTGTTTTTTCGATGTATGTAAACTGGTAAATACATTTGGTGGTAGTGAGAGAAGGAAACTTGTCAAATTTTGTTTGTATGAGTGAGTAGTTCGTCTCGCATAACGTCATGAGTCATTCTGTTAGATAAAGAGTCTTTATCGCGGCGTTTATCCTATGGTTAATCATTTCAGTAATTTTATCTTATTTGAAGAAACAGGTTTTTTCCCTCTGTATCGGTTTGAATATGTACGTTGAGTTTCGAATACCTTTCGACGGATTTTGATGGGTATGCATTTTTACATAGATAGGTTGTAATAACAACAAATTCCTCTTCCAGGCTTTCTTTTGAGCAAAGTTTATGAACTCATCAAAAAAGGGTACATACATTCCCCTTTTTATAACTTATTGGATAGAAGCTGTTGTGGTTTTGATAAATTCCATTCCATGTATTTTTGCAGTGAATATGTCGTTATAGTGTGGCGTTTGAAGTTTGTTTCATCCCAACATGTAAGAAATGGGATTTACTTTCTATTTCATGTTCCTACAACATTGTCTTTTTGAATTGAATAATGACTGATAAAATTAAGTTGGATGAAAGTTAGGAATGTGCTATGTTTGAAGAGATTATGAGTTCACTTAGTCCGAGAACGGAACAAAGACTTTATGACCAAAGACCAATAAGCTAGCTATTCTGATGCGCCCCAGTCCCGCTAACTAGAGAAAGAAGTCCATGTTCGAAACGGGGAATTATATTTCGCAAGCAACCAGAAGCACGAGCAATCCCAACAGACACAAATCAAACTTATATATACAGCATAAAATTTCCATTGGGAAGCGTTACAAAATAACATAGTAAAAGATACAACCAACCAATAGCGTTTAAAATTTTTTCTGGTTAGCGTTTTTTTTAGCTGGAAATGGATAGAACACACATTGAGGAAAGCACCCGACTGCGTCACAAGACAAGCCCTCATCATTTGGAATCCTCAAGGCCAAATGAAAATAGGAAGACCAAAGAACACATTACGCCGTGAAATGGAAATAGACATGAGAAAAACGAACAAGGATTGGATGGAACTAGAAAAGAAGACGCAAGACAGAGTGGGTTGGAGAATGCTGGTCGGCGGCCTATGCTCCATTAAGATTGACAGGCGTAAAGAAAAGAGAGAGAATAGCGTTTAGGCTTCTCCCATGTGGGAAATACGATATGAAGATGAAAATGAGCACTTTTGACGCGAAAACAGGAATTTCAAGATTTTAAAATGAAATTACAAAACTATGATATCTACCAAGTAAATTCTGAAGATTTAACATCCTCAATAGAATGGATGAATCATTACGTGACATGAATCCATTAAATCATTTACTGTTTTGTTCAACTGTGTCAGGAGATAAACGCCTCCCAGAAATGATGGAATCAGTCAAGTTTAATAAGCTTCTCTAGAGGAATTTGTTACTATAGATCATTGAAAAATTGATCGTATTGTATTATAATAAGTAATATATAGAAATTTCAAACAAATATCTCTAATGTGATATAATACAATGATTTCTACATAACACTATGATGATGAATATAGGTTGAAGTAAAATACACATATACACTTACCATTGCATTGACTTCTTGTTCTTCAGTAGAATTACAACAATTTTTACGTATTGATTCTATTAATAAACGATATTGAGTTAGTCGTGTAGTTGGTTTCGTTAATTGATCCCATAATGGTTCACGATGATCATGACCTTGTTGATCAGCCCACTTAAAGTAAATCAATAAATAATCATAATAATAACTATTTGAATAAATGAAATGATATATTGAATAGTATGCTTTAAGTGTAATAATTCTTTGGAGATAATAAGTAATTCATGTATAGGTCTAATTAAAAAGTCCTTAAATGATCAGATCAGATGAAAATACCCCCCCCCCCAATTCATTTTCTCATACCATAAGAAACTCAATTAAATTGTACAGGTTTTATGTAATGGAATGGATTCTCAGGTCGAATGGATGCTATTTGGTGTGTTGGGTCTTCTGAGTTGAATGATTTAAATGTAGAGCTTTCATTATCATTTGGGAAGATGAGATGCCAGAAAAAAAAGGAGTTGGTTCGTATAATAAAAAAGTAATCATGTTGATTTGTGGTTGTGAAAGAAATACATGACTGGTCATTGAGAATGGACAAACAAGGACTTAACCTACTAATTATTGAATATCTAGTCTCTTTTCTTCTCATTGATTTTCACTACGGACTAGCTGAGTGTGAGAGCTTGCAACTGTTTTGAATAAAGTATTATCTAGTGTTAACCTGGTTCTCTATTCTAGGTTGTTAATCCTGGATCTGGTATAACGTGAATAGTCATATTATCGTAGTATACTTGAGCGTGAGAAAAATATTTTAAACCATCACATATGATACGTGATTAATACTTCGAAAGAACCTATGATCAAAGACCTGTAGCCTATGCGTGTCTTTTGCTTTTATAAACCTTGATTCGCAACTATGGAGTAATATACAGTGAAATATCATGCAGTGTATATACCCTTTGTTTACTAGACGAACATCTTGCTTACACCATCAGTTAAACAAGTTGATATAAGCCAAGTGAACTACGTAAATCCATAGTTTCATCAAAAACTAATCAATCAGGATTGATAGGACTTGCAAGATAAGTGAATTGGTCAACTCATTCAACTACTACACTTCCTATAATCAACCTGGGCGATGATAAAGATCAGATCTAAAACAATATTATACATTTAAAACAAGAGAAACACATCCTAAATATGATTGTATTGTAAATCAAAGTGTTTAGGAGACTGAATATTGTAGTTGGGTTTCCATCAATATCCTCTAAGGTTAACTTTAAAAACTGGTGAACACATAGTTTATACACACTATTTATCAGAAATAAGTAAACGGTAATAAGATTAAAAATTCACTATGGTCAACATATAACAGGCAGATTAACTGCTTGAAAAAATCGATTACAAGAAGTATTCATTAATGTTTAAATTTTAGATAGCACCTAGCGGTTACATCTAACTCTGCCTGGTGCCCCTCCGGGCGCTACTGTTGATTCCAAGCCCGGATAAAGGAGGAGGGTTGGGTATGTGGTTAGCGATGCCATACTGTAGAAAACTAACTTGCTGAAAAAACGCTAACTGGGAAATAAAATTTAAAACTCTAGCAGTTAAATCTAGGAGGTCTATTTTTTAATACTGATTGGAATTAATTAGTATCGAATATACCTGAACCCGTTGTTGTGATGTTTATACACAACGCTTCAAACATCATTGTATCATCTATTCATTTACCTACTAGAATTCATTATTGACCGTTATTATTAGAAGCCTAATATATTGATTGTCAACATTTATGAAATCTAAACATTTGTAATGATTACTATACATATAATTACAACATAATTTTAAGAATATTGTTGTGAAGCTATCTTCTTCGTGCACAAAAAGTTTGGAAATTAGTCCTCAAATAGATACTATTTTGATACATTTTATGTACTATTAGTTACAAACTGAACTCATTCACGATTCCATCGACGATCAGTAGACACTGGACAGTTGTTTCATCCTATTATGTGACTCTACGGGGATCCACACCTGAAACTCGATCTGCGACGATAATTAAGATTTACAGGTCCCGTACTAGGAGGAAGTAGCTGTCGAGTGCCCCTTCCTTTTCAATGGTACCCTAACTAAAACTAATCTGTAGCAAATATTGCCCAAATATTAGGCAGCTTTCAAAGGAATTCTTCAAATAAATGACTTCGATAAATTGAATATGACGAACATTAGGACAAAAACAAATGACATCAATTTTATTAGATTTACCTCAAGAAATATACAAAAATTTGTACTTTGTCTAACAGCTTCTTGTGTATATGATCGACAACGTGGTAGATTCACATAGTATTGCTTGTAAACACTGAGTAAATCAGGAATCTAGAATGAAGGACAGATTTTTTGCAGCAAAGTTGATGCATAATATGTCGATGTTTTCTTTAAAAAAGGGATAAATATGAAAATAAACACCAACACACCCGATACTCTGGATAGGTTTAACATCTTGCATTTTCTAGAACCAAGGAATTGGGTCTAGTATTGGAAAGTAGGATTTACATTTCATTTAATTTGAGACTAGTTAGCTGAATGTACCTATATATCAGTATTAATATTCATACTGAGACTCGAACTCAGTATCTATAATTTCAGTTGTAATATGTGCTACTTTTACGTACAATTATAAGTAGTATGCATCAGGAGACAAAAATAAAATGCTTACCGTTAGAAGAGAAAAATGAGAAGAGGAGAACACCAAAAGCTGTCGGAGTAACATAAGAAATGAAAGAACGACGGGTGTTTAAGATACAATTCAAGGATGTTGTAAAAATATTGTACTCAATGTATTGATTTCATATTTCACCAATGCACTGTTTGATTTTCCGGAATTCAGTAAATTGGTTTACGTACTCAAGTCTTCCTGCGTTACACAGTCACCAATGTGTTATCCAAAAAGTTAATAAATACGGATTGTCATGAAATTGTTTCGTGTGTCTAATGTTTATAATATTATTGGTAAGGATACCTGTTATCTGACACGCACTGCATAGAATCTACATATGCCAATCAAAACTGCATGAATTTCATCTTTGAATATCAACAATGGGATAATACATAGGATTACTTATTGTCTCTTTATTCATACGTAACTTCTATTAATATGTGACATTTTATCAGTGTTTTTCTGATTTTCTTATAAGATATATTATAGTATGTCGACCGCTGAACTACTCGTTTCTCTCCATTTACATATAAACTGTAAACTATAGTATTATTGCATAACACAACCATCTTATTGCTATAATATTATTATTATATAATATCATAAAAGTGTAGAACAATAATGATTACGATCTAAGCTTAGGTTATAGATGCTCATTGCTGATAAGTCGTATTCCATGAAGAAATAGATGTTCATCATCTTTTAGCCTACGCAATGATCCCGAACAGTAGTGGATAGCGAAAGCAAGAGAGATGGAAAAGGCGATGGCAATAAGCAACAGCAGACAACTGTTCCGATTTCTCAAGAAAACCGGTATTAAGTATCAAACTGTTAGCGAAACTATCTCAGAAAAAGATGGACATATTATTCATTCTCAATCCAGGAGATTGGATCGATGGGCAGAACACTTTAGAGATCAGTCCAACTGGCTCAGCCACACTTCAGTTTCCCATGATCTCCAGTCGACCTGAATGGCAAGTTAATATACGTCCTCCAAATCTTTATGCGATTTTTCTTCTCGAAATGCAAAATGTTACTTCAGGATTGGGTTGCATCGACACCCGAACTAGTGATAGCGAGTGAAGTAGTTGAGCGTGTCAACCACTTCACTTATCTTGGGAGTCTCATCAGCCCTTGTGGTCTGGTGTGTGACGAGATCTCAGCACGGATACAGAAGGCTCGACTGGCTTTTGCCAACTTGCGTCATTTATAGAGTAGGCGAGATATCCGTCTATCAACCCAAGGACGTGTTTAATGCGCAGCAGTTCGTTCCGTCCTACTTTATGGCAGTGAAACATGGTCGGCAAGAGTAGATGATATTCGTAGGTTACTAGTATTTGATCATAGATGTCTTCGAATCATTGCTCGTATATCCTGTGACTACCGAGTAAGTAATGCAGGTGTTAGGAAACGGGTACTAGGTAGGGATGGCAAATCAATAGATGAAGTAGTGAAACTTCATCAGTTGAGATGGCTAGGACACGTGATACGTATGCCCAACCACAGTCTGCCTCGATGTGCGATATTTTATGTTCTAGGAGTAAGTTGGAAGAAAGCTAGGGATGGGCCAGACCAAAATATGGCACAAATCTACGATGTCACTGACAAGTGGACTGAGTCATGTTGGTAGGTGTAGACTACCTGGTTCCGGGTGTCCGCGTGATGATAGCAACCGATGGTCAGAGATCTTGAATGACATGGCTCAAAATCGTTTGCAATGGTGCGGGTGCATCCACTCTTTGTTTTCTCCTAAATTCTGATCTTCTGAATTCTTCACGTCCCTTTACTTGTTCTCTTTCTAAATTTATTTCCCTGGATTATACTCCTTGATTAACATCTTCAAACCCTAATGTTCCCTATCACTACTTATACTTTTAGTACTTCTACCAACACGGGATTTGAATCGACAACTGTATCTCTGTGCTAATGTGGTATGGTAACTTGAAGTGATGTACGCACATACGAACGAAGTTTTAAGTTGTTGATGACTGACTGGGTGATTGACTGATTATTTTAAAAACCAGTAATTTTGGCTTAAGAATATGGAAAAAATGAAGTAAACTATGAAATGATACCAACATTAATAAATCATTAATTATTTCATTCATTGACAATGTATATCATTCACATTCTAAAGAATAATATCTATCTTTGAAATAACAATAAAAATCATGATTAAATAATCAAATTGGTTCTCTGGTTATTTTCGGTATCATTTCATTCGTATATTTATGCATTGAATGTTCCTTTGTATTTTTGTTGTGTATTGGTTTGTGTATATGTGTGTGAGTGTATTAAATTACTGGAATTCTCAATCACTTTGTTTCTTTTAATGATTAAACACGGACACACAAACATACCGATAATGAAAGCTAAAATGTGTAAATGTGTAACAATGTAAAAGTTAGTGTATTTTAGTTGTTTTGTTGTCATTACCATCACCACCACCACAACTACTAATAGGTGCACATGAATGAGGGAATATTTATATCAGTGATGATATGTAAAACATGAAAACATTAGGTTATAATAATACAATGGTAATTCAATGCTAATGAACAGGAAACTAACTCCACATAGTTCATTCCTGTCATTTGGATTCTATCATTATCTCCTATATTTACAGAGTAACTCAAATTCAAGTACAAGACAGAGTATCTGGCAGATGTAGTTAGTACCAAAAAAAAACGTCGTCAGTAAAGATATTTTCTAAATAACAATAAAGCTAATCATCAAAGTTCAATGGAACATATCAGAAGTAAGATATAGTTAAATTCAAATAACTAGTTATTAACAAATAAACATTGATGAAATAATGGGTTGAATAGTGACGAAGTGTAACTTTTGAGACTATCAAACGAAGGATTGTTAATTGATTAACAGATGCTTGAACTATTGTCGTTTTATAGTCTCCTATTTCTAAGCTTTCATTTAATCTATAAATCGTTACTAATATGGATTTATCATATAGTAATTATCCCCTTGTTTCCCCAGCTTTGTATCAATTACGGTTAGGTTATGAACAGATTGTAAATTTCTAATTGTGTTGCTAAATGCCAAACAATTTCCGGTATATAATTGTATCAATCTTCAGTTAAAATTAAACTGAGTACAATGAACAACTAATTTTATTCCGATCTTTGTCTTATCATTAAATACAGGGTTAGAAAGGAGCATTAGGGCCAATAAACATCGAGGTCTTGTTTTCTGTTACTTGGTCGGTGCGTAAACGAATAAATAAAAGGTCAAGGATTCTACTGGGAATACAAGTGAACCAATCTATCATTAAACTAGAAAAAGAAATATCATACCACTAATTTCTTATTATTACGGACGGGTCCTACAGGATCTAATACAACCCAAGCAATCAATATTCATTCTGATATAATAATCCTCAGTCTAATAGCAAAAACAAATAAGGGATTTTTGATTGAGATCATGAACTGATTGATGTTAGACCACCATTGAAAACCTGGAAGCACTGGATGACTATTTCCTCCTATTGTGGGACTCCTCTGTGACAATACGCATCCACGATCCTGCCCCCCTGCGAGATTCTCACCCAGAGCCTTCGGTCTCGCAAGCGAACTCTAAACCTCTAGACCACTGAGCCAGCCGGCATCCAACGGTGTTTATATCTAACCTCAATCAATTCACGAAATAAATGATTTATTTGTTTGTGATTTTATTTCACTTACGTGTGTTATTGCACTTTTAAAGATGATCGGTGTAAATGCATCTCCATTATGACGAATTTCTTTCAATGGTTCAATTAAATATTGTAACCAAAGTTTAATATTTGCTTTGAATATTTCTTCAATATTACCAAAAATCCATCCAATATCTAAATTCTCAAATAAATATTCACGTATTTCCAAAAATGGAGATAAATAATACTGAAATGAGAAGTATTGATTTTATTTTGTGGATTAGAAGGAGAAGACACTACTATTACAATGATTATAAACATTAATTTATGGTTGAAATAACAAAATGACAACTAAGAAGAGCTGGATAGTTGTTTCATCATATCATAAAACTGCTCAGAAGTGTATCCACGATTTTGGTGGAGTTTTGTTCTCTGAGCTGGATGGTTTGGTCGTGGAGCTTTCATCGTTCTTCTGAACGACATCGTCAGCACAAACTTTAAGTAGAAGTTCAGAAGAACGATGAAAGCTCCACGACCAAACCATCCAGCTCAGAGAACAAAACTCCACCAAAATCATCCACCTGAGCTACAAATCTTCTCCACCATCTCAGGGTATCCACAATTTTAACGAGGATCGAACCTAGACTATTCAGATTTGTCGATGAACGCTCAACCATTTATATCATTAAACTAAGATCAATCGGTTTATATTTCTAGTTTTAGTCAATTCGTGATAATGTTCAAATGCGTGTATTATAGAATTTAACAATCTTTACAACAAACAGTTTACACGTATGTTCATTCGTGTAGTTATACAAAGATGGTTGAATGTGACAAAGTGAATGTTAATGGAGATTAATTTTATAATTTAATCGATGACACTTTCGAAATGTAATATCTTGGTCTCTAGTTGAATGATATGTTGAAGCCCAAGTTTAATTTATCATTACCATGTATTACATTCTGACGAATAATACATAATAAAGAGAATTGCTATCCTCAGTACCTTATATTTATCAGTGAGTCACGGCATATTAGAAGACAAAACCTGGCCAGTGACTGTTGAGAATTAATAGTAAGGAAAAGAGTCATCCTTAAAATATGATATAAAGTAATTGAACGGTATGGTTCAGCAACAGAATAAATTATCTAATAAGATTATTCCAATCAAGAAACAGAATGAATCAAAATATGGAATAGATCAATCTCTACCTCACTGAATAATGACCTAAAATATTGATTTCTAATCTAGAGACTTTCTATCAATAGTTGTCAAATGTGATTAGAAGAAACCTTTATTTTGATCTAGGCTAATTATTCTTTGCACGTCGTCAACTAGAATTACCTACAGACTTCAGGAAATTGATTTTTTTCATGGAATTCAAAATCGAGCGGTAACGAATGTAATATTGAAATTCAATTGGAGTTGTTTTACTTGTATGTTCCAATTGTGATTTAGCACTATAGTTGATCAGCCTCTTGTTGGCATATGTGAATCATGTGCGGATTTCCTCGATATAATCTTAAGTCACAAGCTTTTTAAGCAAAGATGGATAGTGGTTAGTAGTGAAATCCAGGACGCGTATTTGGTCTTATTTGGGACTCGTCAATTGGATGCACCTGAATCTCACAGTTCATGTTAACTCCGGGACCCGGACTCCGTACTGTTCATTTCAAACGCGATCGCGTTATCCACTTAGCTACTGAGTCCTGATAGCCACCTGTTTGTGCAATGGGGGTGAATTTTAAATTCGCTTGGCGTTGTTTTACTTGTATCTTCCTATTGGTGTTTAGAACTGTAGTTGATCAGCCTCTTGTACAATAGGACAAAACAAGCGTCCTGGATTCCACTGCTAGGCACTATCCATCTTTACTTAGAATGTGGTATTTGTCTAATATTTAGTATTGATCAATGTAGACATGTAGTTACTATCATAAGTTATTCACATAGTTCTTTAAAATCGGTTCCTGTGATGTACATCTGTCAAATATTTTTTTTCAAACTATCGTAAAACTGTCACAATAACTTGAATATTTTCACCATAGTTAAATATCCTACTGTTCACAGTGGAATATTAACATGGCAAATTGGTAACTCTATAAATGATGTATTATGTTTCTATTCAACTATTAAATAGTATTAGTGTAAGTAAACATCAACAATATCATCAGAAAATTATGCTTTATGGAATTTTCAATGAAAATGAATGATTATCATATGGCATCGATACTGTTCTATATACATATATGCAAAGTATATAGTCTCAAAATGACTAACTACTAGTCATTCTATAACTGATATCTTTTGTAGTGAAAGAAATAATCCGAATTTCAGTTGAATGATTTACTCTTGAAGTCATTTACACATAGCCTATAGTGACAAAGGTTTCCTAGTGTAACTAAAAACATAGTTGCTACACACTAAAACATTCCAAGAATATCAGTATAGGGTTGTGGAAATTACTACATTTTTGATTAAGATCATGAAACGATTGATGTTAGACCACCATTGAAAACCTGGAAGCAGTGGAGGGCCTTCAGTCTCACGCACGAGACAGGATTCAAATCCCACGGGCGGAGTCGTGAATGCGCGCTGCTGAGAATTCCTACAATGAGTCGAAACGGCTGTCCAGTGCTTCCAGGTTTTTAATGGTGGTCTAACATCGATTGGTTCATGATCCCAATTAAAATTCCAAAAATAATTAACAAACAAAAAACATAAGTTTTACTCAAGTTTGTAAAGAGTATCGCGATGAAAAGATTTCAAGCCTAAATAGTTTGATACGAAAGGAAAGTTAAATAAAACTGTCATAAAGTTGTTTCCTCTATTACGTAACTTTATTGATGTTCACACAAAGATTTGATCTTAATTTGATCGCATTTTATTTATCAGATTGCAATAATGCTATTAGTCTAAGTATCTCGACACCTTTTAAAATTTGCTGTGATGTTAATCAGTTGGAAGTAGTCAAGATGAAAATGTGGATCAAAGTTTCAAACTGTATGGTAGGCGCAAGTGATGCATGCTAAAAATCTCAGTTTGGTACTCTCAAACTGAATGTTGCCTAACTTGGTTTAGGCAGCTGATTAGAATCACTTATCTCCGCACATGTAAAATGTAGCTCAAAGTTGGGTTAGCAGATCTATAATTACCAAATGCATTACATTATCATTATTTATTAACTATTTCATGAATGAGAATTGGACTATATCAATAGAATTTAATCATCCTTAAGAGTGAAAAAATATGACTAGTCAGCACTCAGTAATCAAATAATTGTAAATAACTCAATCCTTTAGGAGATCAGTCATAGTCCAAAAAACTCATTGATGATGTCCAAGATCGTAAATCTAGCTGGTGTTGTTTGAATGGCATAGGAAACATCAGTTCCTTGAGAGTTATACTGGTGCATATTGATTGCTAGGTTTAAGTACATTTACGAATTCACTCGTACGAGAACTATTGATCAGTTTTTTAGTAATCATATGATAAATTTATTACCATTCAAGTACTATTAATTTTATTGACATAATGATTACGGTCGACAAGTCTCAAATAGGATGAAACGCGCGTCCTAGATTCCACTACTAGCCACCATCTATCTTTGCTTATATTACAATAGTTACGTTTACAATTATTACTAAGTATAGTTTTGAAAAACGAGAATAAATTTTAAGTGTTAAACAGACTAACACAAAAACACCAAAACATACAACAACATTGTTCATACATACAACTCACATCTATAATAGTACGTAAATACTTTAGATAGTTTGCTTCAGTATAAATAAATTCCCAAATAGCTGATTGTCTTTTTTGCTGTTGTTTTGTCATTTTCTATAAAGAATAAGAAAATATAAAGAGTAGTAGAAGATATTATTCAAGAAAGAAGGTGTGTATCAGTGGGATGTAAAGAAAACATAGCGTACTCATTCCAAGAAATTAATAGACAAATCACTACTTTTTAACAGGTTTGACGACATGTATAGGTTTTTAGATGTTTAAAAGTTACTTACCAAATTTAAGATTTATATCATGGACTGAATTTAGTTAGGCAGAAAAGAAGAAAGCACTGAACAGCTGTCTTGCTCTAGAATGATAATTCTCATTAGCATTGATCTATAATCTCACTATGAATAGGAGACAAAACATCTAGGTATCGTGATGAGCGCTTAAAGGTCAGTCATTTATATTTCTAATCTAAATGAATGTTCAGTAGTACGCTATAATGCTTAAATTTAACAATCACTGTGATCAGTGCTTAACCATTATTTACCACAGGATAATTTGTGAGTTAGTCAAAGGATTGGTTTGATGAATTAACCAAATCAAGATGTAATATTACTCTGTGAAGTCTGTAACTGTTCAGTTGAATCATTTGAAGAGATGCGGAATTCTTTACAACGTATTCAAGGATCGTTCACCTTAAAGAGATTGACTCAAAATCCTTTCGATTAGTAACAGAAATTCTATAAAAATGCATCAGCCATCTGGTTTATAAAAAAATATTTAAAAGGGCAAGAACAAAGATTCTAGTAGAATAGCATGGATTCATTTTAGTTTGTTGGTTCTCGTCAGTTGCTTACAACTTGTGATATTTAAGTACCGTCATTATATAATGGGTGTAAATGACTTACATGAAAGTGTTTGCTTAGAAGTTATATATTGAAGATACATTAATATACTATAGTAAAAGTGTAAATAAATGGAATAGATTGGATATCGTGAATGTATACCTTATGTGATGAAAGAACATTCTGAAACATTGATTGTGATCTTGAAGGATCGCAAGGTATCGACCTGATGTTCTATATCAAGGAGATGTTTGTTAATTGCACTGTTTAGAGTTTTTCCCTTATTCTAAGGCTTTTTGGAACATGTTTAAAAAAATCTAAGACATGCCCTCAGTTCTATTCGACCGATGTAGCTGCTTTGGCAGGTGCACATAAATTTGTAAATACAGTTGGCGGTAACATGAATGGGGTGCTTGTCAACCTTGGATTGAGTTATTGAACATGTTGTTTTATAACGAATTAAGAGCTTGACCGCCGGATAAGTTCTGGCTAGCGCAGTATTCAGCCTCCTGTTGATTGTGTTTGCGACATCATCACATTTGAAGTTAAGATTTGTAGATAGTGGTTTTCTATTGACCGTAATTACTTCCATCTTGTTTTCTATGAACTTTCTATATTTGTCAATACACTTTTATGAATGAAAGTTGTCTGTTAGGGATTTCTCCACGTTTATTAATTCTTCTTTCAATTTTTCGGTGGTATATATCCTTTCTACCCTATAAAATTGTGTTTTAATCAATACCTTCTTGTAACTGTTTGAACAAAAGCGGTTGAAATTCAGGTGAAGGCCATTCCAAGTACTTTTTCAATAAACCAAACGTTAGACTGTCTTGTCTCTTCTACGTTTTATGGCAACATCAAGAAAGTGGAACATGTCATTCTGTTAGTGTTCCATAGTATATATATGCATCGTGTATATGCATCTACACAAATCTTTATTCATACTGGTGAGTTATTTCATTGTATTAATGTGTGAGATCTTGGATAAAGTGATGCTTTTTGTTGGATTCACAGTCAAATCATTCATTTTCACAATTTAAGACTTTAGCATTAAGCTATTGAGACCGTAGTTAACTTCTTGTAGATCTGAGATATTTACTATTGATTGATCATAGAGTATTGAACATTGTCAATCAATTGTGAATATTTCAGTTCTACAAGAGGTCATTCTTGATCTGAATATTTCATTTTGTAAAAGCTTGATAAGTTGAATGAAGAATGCTGGTGAGTGGCCTATGCTTCTTCACAAGGGGTAACGGGAATAAGTAAGTAAGTACTTAGCAAGTCAGAAATCTACGGGTAATTCCAGAGATGATTTTCTACGTGAAATGTTTGTAAGCAAAATAGAGTCTTGACTAGTGCATGCTCAAATCACGCTTCAATAAGAATGCTTGAGTTAGTTAATTTTCAACTAGTAATTGCTGATGAATGAATCGAGTATAAACTAGAAGATTCTGGTAAATTCCACACAATATCTTATGTTCTATTGGTATGCCTTGGTCGTTGCTGTTTAGATTATTGAAACATGCATATTCTGTTCCCTTTCAATTATTATTCAAGAAAAGTTTCGTAATCAGAGTGGACTAGATCCTGTGAAAGAATACAAAATGTCACATCATTATTGTAGGATTCGAAGAAACTTCTTTAATCTCATCCATTAATATCATCAATTCTCTAAAGAGAAAGAGGCAAAAAAACAAACTTCACTTACTGAAGATGATTTAACAATTTGTTCCCATGACTCTTCAATAAAAAATAGACTAGCTAAATCTTGACTATCAAATTGTTGATTATTCGGCATATTTTGATGTTGACTGTCCTCAAAACGTGAATAAGAATTCGATTTGTGTCGAATTACTTCTTCTGAATTTGGGATTGTAGTTAAAGGTATAGATGTAGTTGAATTTCCGTTCGATATTTTCTGTCGCCCTGGTATTAAATTTACCAGCACATTTGGATTCAATTCACTTAGACATTCATTTATCAATTGGTCAGACAATGAATATGGGTTCGGACTGTTACTTTTCTTGTAAAAATCAAACCAATTTTTCAGGGCATCAGATGTTGTATCCTATAAAAAAGCGAAATGCAAATTAGATATATCAGTATACGGCTGTAGAGACTGTTGACTTTCATCGAGATCACAAACCGATAAATGTTAGACAACCATTGAAAATCTGAAAGTACTGAACTACCATTTCGTCCTTGTATGGGACTCTTCAGGAGTGCGCACCCATGATCCCTCACATGCGATTAGAATTCAGACTTGGAGTTGGACATTAAAACTGTCAAGTGCCAGATTAGTAGTTTAAAGGTTAAGCGTTCCTGCCCGTGTCTGAAGGTTCTCGGCTCGAGTTCCGTGTGCACTACCTAAGAGTTCCATACTAGGTCGAAACAGCCGTTCAGTATTTTCAGATTTCCAATGGTGTTCTAACTTTAAATGGTTTATGATCTCAATGAAATTAGATTTGATTAGAATTTTCAGCAAGAGCAGAGCACAAAGATGAGCTTAAAACAACAATGACGAAATTTCAGTCGGTTCTCAGTCAGTCAGAAATTAGATTTTGTATATAGATAGTTTATGGAAAAAAGAACACTAATATTAAAAGATTTAAACAAATTTTACAGATATAAAAGATACATTTAAGTTTTCCACGGGTTACTCTACATGTAGATTGAAAAAAATAATGGTAAATAAATCCCTTACAGGTATAGATTATCCTCTTTCACGAATCCTTACTTACTTACTTACTTACGCCTGTTACTCCCAATGGAGCATAGGCCGCCGACTAGCATTCTCCAACCCACTCTGTCATGGGCCTTCTTTTCTAGTTCCATCCAATTCTTGTTCATTTTTCTCATATCTATCTCCATTTCTCGGCGTATTGTATTCTTTGGTCTTCCTCGCCTCCTTCGGCCTTGAGGATTCCATGTGAGGGCTTGTATCGTGACGCAGTTGGGTGCTTCCCTCAATGTGTGTCCAATCCACTTCCAGCGCTTCTTCCTGATTTCTTCCTCCACTGGGATCTGATTTGTTCTCACCCACAGTAGGTTGTTGCTTATAGTGTCCGGCCAGCGGATCTGAAGTATTTTGCGTAGACAACTGTTAATAAACACCTGTATCTTTTGGACGATGGATTTCGTAGTTTTCCAGGTTTCCGCCACATACAGTAGAACTGTCTTGACATTTGTATTGAAAATTCTGACTTTGGTGTTGTTTGCTAATTGTTTTGAGTTCCAGATATTCTTCAGTTGTAAATATGCTGCTCTTGCTTTGCCAATCCGTGCCTTCACATCTGCATCAGATCCACTGTGTTCATCGATGATACTGCCCAAATATGTAAAGGTTTTTACATCTTCCAAATCTTCTCCGTCAATTGTGATTGGATTGGTACATGCTGTGTTGTATCGAAGAATCTTGCTTTTCCCTTTGTGTATATTGAGACCTATTGCTGCTGAGGCTGCAGCTACACTGGTTGTCTTCTCCTGCATTTGTTGTTGCGTATGCGATATTCACGAATCCTTAACTGGACCGAAAAAGATTTTTAAGAGCCTTCATACTGTTCTTAGCTATGGTCAGGGTTTTAGTCAGTAATTGTCATCAGCAATAATGTAAAAATGCTGTGTAACCCTATGGATAAATAGATTCAGCTAAAATAATATGAGAAGTGATATCAGATTAGTTTGTTCATAAAATATAATGGCATTTAGTTGAGGTTTATTTTGAGATTAAGAGTTCAGAGTTTTAGTTTACAAATGGTATCGATTTTCATGTTAAATGAAATCTACAGAGACGGAATCGAATATCTGACACTTTTAAACTAACATTTTTTTTTATGGTGGGCGGTATCTGAAATTCGATATTAATACACGACCACCCTTAGCTTTCTTTCAGAGTACTGTTATACTAGTAAATATCAAGGATCGAGATAGTTGACAGATGAGAATACGTAATACATGTATCAACCACATCAGTCGATGAAGATTCGCCAACCCATCAACCCATTTTATATCTTTACCTAACCCTCTATGTTTAACCTCAGTATTTTTTGCCCACTGATTCCAGCATACATAATTAATGTTTCGAAGGAATCTATTATTAAATACTAGTAATCTACGAAAATCAATTTTATAACCATCAAGTAATACAGAGAGAACTGTTATTTAGCATACTCGTCCATTGATTGACGGATGGAAGGGTCACTTGTGGCAGAAGTGACATGAGTTGGTAAAAGTCAGGTAAGCCTTCTGAATCTGTGACGAGATTTAGTTAGACACAAACTCATTAGAGACAATGAAACCCGTAAGATAAGTGAAATGGATGACACCTTCAACCATCTCACTACCTATCAAGAGTTTAGATGTTGAAGCAGTCCAGTCTTGAAGCAAAATGTTGTCTAGCTTTTATTACTTATTGATACACTGTATCAATCATAGATAGATAAGCGCATGTTATTATCTAAGATTTGATCTCATTTTCCAGAAAAGAAACACAGGTTATTGGTTAAAAATATGGCTTAATTTTTTGAGGGAAGAAGATGATGAATGAGTGTACATATATTCTCGATTCGGTTTAATCAATAAGGCATCCTTCTAGCTCTCAACGTTTTCACTCAAGTAGTTGGTTTGCACTTGCATATAAAAAGCTCTTATATCAGTATCAGGCTAGGTTGCCACGCAATACAGCACTTATAGAATTCTGTCCATCACGAATGTCAATAAATCATACTGGTCATTGTCAACTAGCATTTAACCTAGTTGTATGAGGTTCCGTAGATCGGCTATAGTCACTTAACCTTGGCAGGGATTCATCTAAATTTGTGGCCGTTCCTAAAATGAATTAGAGAGAGGTAGTGTGATTTATGATTATGTCTTGCATAGACAGATGGACTATACTGGAATTAAAAATGTCCTCAGTTAAGTATATAGGATAGAAAGGTGAAAGTAAACCATAGTGACAACCTTCGGACTTAAAATAGAATCAAGAATTAAGGTTAAAAACTAAAATCAGGAGTAAGGGTTAGGAATCAGGATAAGGAATTAGGACCAAGGTTTTCATTATTAACTGATATTGTCTTTATTGCAGAAAATGCACAGTAACCGTAGGGATGGATAAATTTCAGGCTCAAATTCAAGAGATATTATCTTGAATGCGATTGGTTCGCCACCATACTTTGGTTCCAACGATAGAAACATTGACATATTGATAAGAATTGAATTGTTGTTTATACTTGGTCTTTGTTTATTTAATTCCTTCTTCGTATTTATTTAAATATCTTTGTCATTATATTGAATTTTCTTGCTTAATTCTGTTGTAAAATGTGATTAATTACAATTTACCTATTGAGTAATATGATACATACAAATCTGATTAATACCTATGGGGTAACAAAACAAATCCCCATGTGAATTACCAATAAATGATTACAAAATGTAGATATTTAATGAAGTTAGTGAAAATTTTACAATCTAGTATTTGGTAAATAAATTATTGTATTTATCTAATCATACATAAACTAATACCGAATGCCCTAATACGGTCGAGTGTGGGGAGAGTCAGCTCTCCCTCTTCAAATGCTATAACTCCCAGAGATGTCCTACTCAATGTCTTCTCGTAGTATTACTGTTGTTTACGAAATTGAGAGAACGAAAAGTGAATGTCCGGCACTTTACCCGGGTTGGTGGACACGGAGAGTCCACCTATGGGAGTTGGAAAACCCTGATTCTAAACCACTACTACACATGGGCTCCAGTAACCTGAGGGAACAAATGGCGTATGAATCTATTGTAGGTCACCGGCTACCATGGGACTGCATCTTCTTACGTCGCTCCACTGCCTTGTGGGTTAGACCTTTAGGTCGAACGCTCGGGGAATGGCACCCTAAGAAAACCACCGGCGTCGGTTTGGGCACCCATATAGAATGATTTATGTGGCGTATATCTATTTGTTGCCTCCTCGTACGAATGTTTATATGTTTAAACAATTAATAAAAAACCTGATACCAACATATTGGATGTTGAAATTAAATAAATTTTAATATATAACACTATCAATGGAAATAAACAAAAAACAAACAAACAACAACATTCAAATACAGTGAACTCTGGACTAATCAACCAGTCTAAATACCACAATAGCTCACTGGTTAGCATTTTTTTTTAACGAGTTAGTGTCCTACGGGATGGGTTCGCTAACCCCATGCTCAACACTCTTCCGGAACCGGCAATAGCCCCAGGGGGCACCAGGCGGAGTATAATAGCTCACTAGAATTACCAAATTAGCTGGTGTATATATTAAAACAAAAAAAAAAAGAACATTCTTAACGCTTACTACTTTTTTGTTATACAAGCAACTCAGTATATTATCGTGTGATTCGTATGAAGTACGTCATTAATTTATCACGTTGATTATATACAATATTATAAAATCAATTAATGAAATCACTCATTATTGATAATGTATCATTGAATGAAAATTGTATTTTTATAGTTTATGAGAATCATCTACTAAGTAGGTATTATATAGTTGTCCTTAATAAGTATGAGAGTCAATTTAAGAAGGATGTTTTTGTTGCTGAATACAAATTATACATCTTTATTGAAATGTTTACATTCATTTAGTCTAATTTCATTAATTAATCAATAAATAGTACTTGATATTATGTTATGTTACGTTATTACCGTTGAGTATGTCTTGTCAATTAAGTTATAGTATGTTCAATAAGCTAAGTAACTCAATTGATTTTGTGATTTCTTCTTCTTTTGGTATTTAGTAAATGAAGTTAATCAAAAGGAAACTTTAGATTTAATCATCATAATATTTGGAATTTACTATTAAGATATACTTAGAAACTTATATCTGAGTAACTGGATAAGTGCTGGTGGTTGTGTGAGTGATGTGTTTAATTCACGTATAGTGAAATCCAGAGTGACTTATGCAAATCTAAGCCATCTTTGGCACCTTCGTGATGTTAGTCCGGTTGTAAAGAGTTGGATCTACAACGCCTTGATGAGAGCAGTTTTACTCTATGTTTGTGAAACCCGGTGTCTCCTAGTTCAGGATGTTAGGTGACTCTCTGTGCTTGATCATCGTAGTCTCCGAAGGATTGATAACATCCAGTGGTAACACCATGATAGTAATGCAGAGGTTCGGCATCGTGTGTTCGAGCAGAGACGATAATTCCATTGGTGTCACCATCTTGAAACACCGACTTCGGTGGCTTGGACATGTTCTACGAATGTCGTTCCAGAGAATTCCACGTCGTGTATTATTTGCCGACGCTGGGAGTGGTTAGGGAAAACGGAGAGGTGGTCAGCGTATGACATAGTGTCGCGATATGAAAGAAAGCTGTACAGGACTGCCTTCTGTCGGTTCTTTACAACTTTCTGGTTGGGGTCCTAGAGATGGTGTAACATGTTGTCTAAAGACGTTATCACATATGGCTCAAAATAGAAGCCATCGGTGATCCTGCTGTGACTTTATTTTACTTTCTTCATAAAAAAGACGTAACTTCTTTAACTGTAAGAATTCTAACTGGCTAGCTGAACTTCTCCCATTATTATTATATTATTAATATTATTATTTCACTATCATACACTAATTTGTGTTCGTTATTATTCCCTTTTTTCTTATACACAGCTTACATTCTTGATCTCTTCACATTCTCATTATTATTTTGTGGCTCATAGTGGCCCTTGGTACCAATATTTATGTGTTCAAATAAATAACAAAATAGAAACCTGAAGAACATTGATCAATGACGGATCTGTATAAATGTTTCAGTTTCACAGGCAATCAACTGATTTCAATTGTAAGATCTCTAACCATGATACTAAGTGGTATCAATTAAAACTTTTTAACAAATATCCAGTAAAAACCACTTTCCAGTGTATTCTATTGAGAAATTGGGACTTATTGATAAGTCTTGCAATTTGAACACTATACTCGGTTCCTAAGCTATTCTTGAAACCCCCAAGCTAGAACTATACAGCGATCTGAACACGAGAGAGTAGACGCAAAGCACGGGAAAAGTATTTCACTCCAAGGTTCATTTTAATACAGAAAATATAAGGTTTTTATAATATTCTAAATATCATTGAGTTGCTCGAAGATTCTGGAATGCTACTAAACATAGTAGCTGTACAACAAGCAGCCAGTCAGAATCTCTACATGTGGCGTTTCACATCCTTGATGTTTCTGGCTAAACTCCAAGTGAACGCTGATTGGATGAGATGCTTGGTAATGTTTCCTGATCCTTGCTTGTCTTTTGCGAGAATTTTTCTGGATCATCTCAACACTTATAAAGTTCATATATTTTAGGAGTCAAACAGCTATCATCAATGGCATCGAATAAACGTCAAACTTTGCAGCAAATTGTTTGAATTTGAAATTATACTATTGTTCATCGACTTAATTCTTCTAATAGTTGACAAAACTTGAATGTCTCAGGTCTCATTTCTTTTGGAGATGTAATTGCTGACTGTTAATGAGTCTCATACTACTACTATACAGCTATCTAGTACTCTTTGTCTCTTAATGGTATCTTAAATAAGAATACTAAGAAGTAGTGATGGAGATAATAATATTAATAATGAAAGTAGTATAACAAAACGCTTTACATAAAATATCTATATTTTCAGCTGGTAACTATTAATACAAAGGTTTCTCTTATTTAACCTTCAATTCATTCTACTACACAACATGAACTATACTTCTCAACTAATTGTTCTCCCATTAAAACAATCAGCTGAAATGATTCAGTTATTACTTGAATTGTATTAAAAAAGTGTTATACTTCTGTTGAATAATAATTTCGCTTCATAATCAATGATCAAATATTATCATCTGATATTCATCTGATTTAATGAAAAAGTGAATCCTTGGAAGGAGGTAATTATTGTATTTCTTATCGATTTATATACAGGTGCTTATTAACAGTTGTCTACGTAAAATACTTCAGATCCGTCGGACAGACACTATTAGTAACAACTTACTGTGGGTGAGAACAAACTAGATACTAGCAGAGGAAGAAGTGGATAGGACACACATTGAGGAAATCACGCAACTGTGACACAAGACAAGCCCTCATCATTTGGAATCCTCAAGGCCAAATGAAAATAGGAAGACCAAAGAACACATTACGCCGTGAAATGGAGATAGATATGAGAAAAATGAACAAGAATTAGATGGAACTAGAAAAGAAGGCCCAAGACAGAGTGGGTTGGAGAATGCTGGTTGGTGGCCTATAATCCATTACAAGTAACAGGCGTAAGTAAGTAAGTAAGTATCGATTTATATTTACAAGTTAATTCTGATCATTATGATTGTATTAATTCGATCGATTATTACCATATATGCTTAAAATTTACTGATTGATATATTTTCCATTTCATTCTTTCTCGAGATTCTTACGTTATTTTTATAATGAAAACAAATCTGTTTAGATTACATTAAATGATAGTTGTAGTTATATATAATATACCCTTGTGGGCCAGGATAATTTTACATCGGTTTTCAGGAGAACCAGACACCGTCCAGACTTTCACGTGACAATCCAAACAGTACAGCCCAAGCCCGTTTAGCAGGGGAGCCAGACACTATATAGGCTTTAACGCTACAATCTGAATAGTACAGCTCAATCCTGTGGCGCAACCACAGAGATACCAAGCACCCTGGTGGACCATTCGCACCATTCATATACACATTCACATCACATGTGTAGTTATTCCAATCAATGATCGCGTGAATCAATTATGCACGGCACGAACAGGCCAAAGTTGACCTATCCTGGTTACACGACAGTCAAACTCGTTAATGTTAGCAATAGCGACATGCCTTACAATGTCCCAATGACAAATGGCCCTCGAGAACACGGGAAAGCAGCCACCAGTATGAATGAAATTGGTTAACTAGCAAACCAATTTTGTGCATGAACAGTCAGCAAAACTTGCCAAAGCATTGCCGAGCCATCCACAATACCGATGACGAACCTCTAGCCTCATATGAGACCTTCAGCTCTACATAGCCGTATAGCTTATATTGCATACAACACATACGTAGGGTAGTAAGCGAAATAGCTCAGCCTGAAGCGTTAGGACTTAAATAACGCCTAAAACCTATTGTCTGGTGTCGGAATACTATAACTAGACCACCAAGATCATTTTTTCTCGCATTTGCGAAATTTTCATTTTTCCGACTTTTCAGACCCTGAGTTGGGGGTAGTATCCCTGATAGTTGTAGTATGAGAGACTAATACATATTCCTTGATGATATAAAGACCTTTTCAATTGTCTAAACATTTGATTTATATAATGAAACATCCATAGATACTAAAACATACACAATAAAATAATTATGAATAAAGTAGTCAGATACAATTTTATTAAAACTTACAAATAAAGGAACTGATCTTCTTTCTAATTTTCTTGTATTAGTCGGATGAATACCAGTAGAAGTGACTTTATTCCTATAGATTTCTGTAAATGGGAAATAATGAAGGAAAAACTAGTGAATCTGACGATGTTCCCCTTCCCCCACTAAAAAAGCACATAGAAGAAAGGATATATCTCATAGTGATCCTTAAATTGTTTATAAACTGAAAGCTTAAGGAAAACATTGATAAGCCAATTAGTACGAAATGGTCAAGATATTTATAATGGATTGATTATTAACCAATATTATATGTCATGGAACTAGAAAAGAAGGCCCAGGACAGAGTGGGTTGGAGAATGCTGGTCGGCGGCCTATGCTCCATTGGGAGTAACAGGCGTAAGTAAGTAAGTAATTATATGTCATGTGTACTATATTAAGATATTAGATAGTAAGATGCAATGGACAAATAACCCTAGACTCATATTTTTTTGTTAATTGGCATTTGTTAGCAAGGTGTACGTGTACATTCTTGAAAGAACTAAATCGACCTGCTAGTTTGTCTAATCACAAAAATGGTCAGTATGTAAATACATTTATTATATCTATACATGTTTGTATTTAATCGTCTTACAAATTAAGTAAAACTGATAGTCGTAATTGAGATGGTGGAGAATATTTGTAGCTCAGGTAGATGAAGTTTTTGCGGATGATGTCGTTCAGAAGAGCGATGAAAGTTCTACGACCAAACCATCCAACTCAGAGAACAACTTATATAGGCTACATTATTAAATCTGAAAAAATCTCAGTCAGTTTTAATAATGTAACAATAATGTTGGTTAATAATAAAGTTTTAAGTCTTCAATGAAAGTTAACGAGTACAATTAAAGAAAGAAGGAAGAATAAAAATCTTGTAGTGATTCTTTTTGCCATGTTTAAAGCGATTAAGAGTTTACCCAGTTTGAGAACGGAACAAAGACTTTGTGACCAAAGACCAATAAGCTAGCTATTCTGATGCGCCCCAGTCCCGCCAACTAGAGAAAGAAAACCATGTTCAAAAAGGGGAATTATATTTCGCAAGCAACCAGAAGCACGAGCAATCCCAACAGACACAAATCAAATATATATATATATATATATATATATATATATATATATATATATATATATATATATATACAGCATAAAATTGTCATTGGGAAGCGTAACAAAATATAACCAACGAGCAACGTTTAAGATTCTCCCAAGTGGGAAATACGACATGAAGATGAAAATGAGCACTTTTGACGCGAAAACAAGAAATTCAAAAACAATAAAATTACAAAAATCAGATATTTACCAAGTAAGTTCTGGGGATCTAACCTCCCCAACTTTTTGTACAAGCCAATAATTTGAATAGTAACTAGAGTCATAACATTACACATTGTATTTAACATATGCTTATAAGTGAGTTTTAAGTAGTTTTATTCAAATTTTATTGAATGAGCTTTTGACATTGTCTAGTATTCACTCTTTTTATGTTATTGAATTGATGAAAGACTTTAAAAGAAAGCCTTATAATTAAAATGTATATTTTTAAATACTTAAACACTATCATAAATACGTGGATACCAAAAAGATGGAACCATAATATTGATGAGTTTACTAATAGGTATCTTTCCACTATTGGCAATTACATTTTCTCTCCAATTAGTTTAATTAAAAAAGTAAACTAGATGAATTCAATTAAGAGATTTGTAAAATTGTATTTTTATCATAATCTAAAATTAATAGAAGGGTATAAATAGAGATGAATGGTAATTAGTAGTGGAATTCAGGATGCACGTTTTGTCCTACTTAGAACTCATCAGCTAGATGTATATACATCCTAGAGTTGATGTTCATTACGGGACTCAAAGCCAATATTGTTTTTTTCTTCAAATATCATTACATTATCTAACTAGCTAGCTAGCTATTAAGTCCAGATAGCCACTAGTTGATGCACTAAGGTGAATTTTAATTCAGTCACATTTTGTTGTTTAAATCTTCTGATTGATGTTTAGGACTGTAATGGATTAGTCTCTTATTGACATATGTGCTTCATGTGCTGATTGTTCTGATATTGCCTGAAGTCACAAGCATTATAACCAGAGATAGATGTACATCTGATGATGATAAGAGACTGTTCAATCGCAGTCTTAAACATCAATGAGAAGATTCAAATAATCAATACAAAAATGAATCCGTAGAAGAATAATTCAAATTCAAGAATCAATGGATAGTGTCGTTAATAGATACGTCGTCCAATTCAAGCAAACATATTTAATATAGGTTTATCTAACCAGTTATGTAAATGGAAAGACTGAGGAACGATTAAGATATGATCGAAGAAGCCCAATATGAAGGTACACAAATTATTGATATACATACGATCATTCTTGTGATACAGACAGAGGCATGTAGTTTAAGACTTTGAATAGCTTCATAAACAACTTACTCCAATAGTGTGTCTCATTCATAATTTCTCACTTAGCACTTAAGCCTAAGGTTGTATATGTACACAAGCATTCAATTTGCCTAAACTCATCAAGTCTATCAAATAGTTTTACTTGTAAGTAATCCACAAACTCACCACATTCAATTTTTACTCAATACATCATATTATTAAATCATTAAGTTGAAATCAACTATTTCATATTGTCAATTTTATCTAATTCATTAGGTCGTACAAAAACCGTCCAACATCATTACTGACTTGTGTTATGTTGTCAATACGTTCAAGACATAGAGGTCACATATTTTAAATAGAATAGTGTAAAATCTAAAATTTATGATAAAAACAACTATTCAGTATATTTTATCTTTTACCGATTTTCCGCTTAATGAAAAGCATAAATTAGTTTTTATTTTAATAGTTCAGATCATGAGTACAATAAAACTAGACCACCATGGAAAATCTGGAAGAACTGAATGACCGTTTCGTCCAGTGGTCTAATGGTTAAGCGCTCGCGTGTGAGATTGATAGTTGCTGGGTTCGAATCTCGCGAGATGGAATCTTGGATGCTCATTGTTGAGGAGTTCAACAATGCTTCCAGGTTTTCCATGGTAGTCTAGCTTCAATAGATTCATGATCTTAATTATTAAAACTATTATAATATCCACAAAACCCCTTCTGATAGTTTTCATTTGCCAAAATATAACTTTTCTACACTTCATGTACTGCTGTATTATGAATTCATATGAATATGAAATTATAGAACTAAATTAAGAAAAGAATAGCAGTTTAATATTTTCAGATGATATCAGAATAGCACACAATAATCATTAATTATTTATTTGAATCCCGCGAGTGAGTTCGTGGATGCGCACTGATGAGAAGTCCCACAATAGGACGAAACAGCCGTCCACTGATTCCAGGTTTCCAATGGTGATCTGACATTAATCGCTTCATGATCTCAATCAAAAGGTTATTATTTGTTTCAACAATGTAGCACATGAATCGTTTAGTTTGAATGAATAAGATCTCAAGATTTGATTTACAATAAGGAAATAGAAATAATGATAAATTTTGAAACATGAATGCTTTGTTACTATTATTGTGTTTAGTACTTCTTAAACCTTTCTTTTGATAATTCCATCTTTACATTTTAAGGTCTGTTGTATATTGTCACGATTGTAACTATTTGAAATCAAGACTGAATGTTCTTTTTCTTTATCAAGTGAATATGAATCATTTATTAGTATGATCACGAATTTGTTTGTAATGGTTAGCGTTTTTTTAGCAAGGTTTTTTTCTACGGGATGGGGTTGCTGAAACTATGCCCAAACACCCACCTTGATTATGGCTTGGGACCAGCGGTAACCCTAAGAGAGCCACAGGAATCTTCTTCGACACTATAGTATACCTGAGAAAATCGTCAATATCATATGGAATTTATACGACGGACTACAGTGCAAACTCGTGAATGGAGGACAGCTGACGGACGTATTTCAAATGGGGACCGGAGTCAGACAAGGCTACTTACTCTCCCCATTCTCTTTGTTCTAGTGGTTGACTGGATTATGAAGACCTCCATATCTGACGGGAAGCATGGGATAAAATGGACAGCTTGCATGCGACTAGACGATCTGAACTTAACAGATTACCTAGACCTCTATTCCATACACACCAACAAGTACAGACAATAACAGTCAATGTAGTAGACGCCTCTGAACCAGTAGACCTTAACATACACAAGGGAGAAACTAAAATCCTGAAATACAACACAGAACACCAACCTAATCGAACTTGATGGGGAACCTTTAGGAGAGGTGGAAACGTTCACGTATTTGGGTAGCAGCATCATCAATGAATAAGGAGGATCCGATGCAGATGTAAAGACGAGGATTGGCAAAGCAAGGCAAGCATTCCCGCCATTGAAAAACACATGGAACTCAAAATAACTGTCTGCAAGCCAACATCAATGTCATAATCTTCAATACAAACGTCGAGACAGTTCTATTGTACGGAATGGAAACTTGGAGAAGTACCTCAATCATCATCAAAAATGTACAAGTACTTATAAACAATTGTCTACGCAAGATAATCAATGTCAATTGTTGATCCGTTATCACCAGCAACAGCCTATTGTAGGAGAGAACAAATAAGCACCCAGGTGAAGAGGAAATTAGGAAAAGACGTTGGAAGTGTATAGTACATACATTACGGAAATCACCAAACTGAATCGCGAGAGAAGCGCTAACCTGTAATCCTGAAGGGAAACGGAAAAGTGGAAGGTTGAAGAACACGATGTGTTGGGAAATGGAAGCAGACACAAAATAACCAAAGGCGATTGGGAATAAACGGAAAGGATTAACCAGGACAGAACTGGATGGAGAACGGTGGTGGACGGCCTATGCTCCTCCACGACGTGGGGTAATAGGCATAAGTAAGTAAGTAAGTATGGTCATTGATAAAACTCCGACTTATTTCGAAATTATTTCATCCGATTGTCAGACAGTGAAGAATAGGATGTAAATACTCATCTCCTAATCTACTATAACACAACTACATAACGAGATTAAACTAATCGGAAATAAGTTCAAAACAATGGTAGGAGATATCATTTTGAAATAGATTGAATATAGA